CTATTTTGTTGCGCCACGGATCACTTCAATATGTGACCAATCAGTGACCATGGCAACTCCTTGGTTTCACAACTACTTCGAGAAATCCTGCGACTGGCTACTCACACCGTCACGACCGTGTACCATCCGCAAAACAAACGGCCTTACCGAGCGTCTCAATCACACCTTAACAGATATTTTCAATGTAAATTTCTGATAGCCGAATCACCTGGGACACCGTCGTTTCGTACATCACATGAGCATATAATACCAGCTCGACAATCAACCACCGGGTATGCTCACCGTACTACTTGCTTTACGTCCGAAAACCTTTCACGCTACTCGACGCAGTTATCCCCTACATAGATGATAGCCCCGTTGGTCCGTATCCTGCCGATATTGTATCCCACGCCGAAGACGGCCGCCAACTGGCTCGCGTATACAGGTCCCAGTCGCAGCAACAGCAAACACTGCTTCGCAGTGAATCGGAACGACTATCGGCTTACAGAATTGATGACGAAGTGCTCCATGGTCACCTTCTCGTACCGTAGGAAAGTGTGAAAAACCCCGACGGAAGTTCATCGGCCCCTTTCGCGTCACGCATCAATTGTCGGCCACCAACTAAAAAGTTGTTCTTGTTTCACAACAGCGAAATCGTCGTTCCCGCACCCCAGACAGTGTGAACGTCACCACAATGCGGCCGTATTACCGCCAGGATGCCTGAGCACCGCAACCACGCTTTGTCTCCAGCCATGGATGACCAGCGTCTTTGCTGACGGGGGGGGGGGGGGGGGGGGGGGGGGGGGGGGGGGGGGGGAATTGTTAAAGAAATTAGAAGGACGAAGCGAAGGCTTGGCGAAGAAAGCGTGCGGAAGCTGGTGACTTTGTAAGCTTTGTAATCATTGTAAACCACATCAACATTAAATCGTCGCATTACTAATATCCTTAAATTATTAAGTTGACATTAGCTTCGTGTCAAACAAATAAACTTATAGTCTTATATTAACTTAACGTCAAACGTATATCTCTATTGTTTTATAAAACAAGACATAGGGTGAAGATAACTTTGTTTGCCAGTTTAAGCCCCGCAAAACAAAGACTTGGCAAAAAAAGGTAAAACAAAAGACAGCTAACAAATGTATTTACCGGGTAGATTGAGTGTATGTAGCTTAAATTACCTCGATCGTTACGGAATAGCGCGAGTTTGTCGTGTTAAATATCTAAACGTTAGGTCCATTGTCGGCCGAAAGGTTCACCATCTTCGAGTGAAAACATTATTAGAAAATATTTGGAGTCACCTTAGTCAACCTTAGTCATGGATAAAGCCAAAGTATGCAAAATGCATGTTGATTTGAGTGTATATATCTCTACATGTGGATGCCCCGCGCCCTTTTATCAATTCAACAAATCTTGACTAACAAGCCCATAACCATATACAATGTGAACAAAACCCATAAGGCGTACTCCGACATTGTACGTATAATATGATCTTACGTGACATTTAAGCTACTCACGTGAAAGAAAATCATCGCCCATAGTTTGCAATTTGACACGTAAAAGAATATTTCTAGCTATGAAAATATTACCTTGTTTTTACGCCTATATCAATGGTAGGATCATACCCATTAAACAACGTATACTAACACGCGCCCAATACCTTTTCACGTTAGTGCTAACTAAGCTGCCGTGTTGAGTATGGAAGCTCATAGAACAAGCACCGCAGTCACTCTATAAAGGTTGTTTACACAGCTGCGTCGTCTGCACTATACGCTGCGTTGCGTGGTGCAGCAGAGTGATTTCCCATTTTCTCGTCGTAAGGGTTGCTATAGAAACAGCTCGACGCATGCAGTCCTAACGCAGTCAAACGTAGGTGTCTGAAGCGACCTTTTGTTTGGAAGATAAGACAGTTCGATCACAGCGTTATTCGACGAGAAGATAATAATCCAATGAACAGTCATATTAATTTCATTGCGTTTTATTTATATTTGTGGCTCCATACGCAGAAAGTGAGGTTAATATAGTATACTTTCACGATTTAGGATGAGAACTAAGATAGGCGGCGGCATCATCAGGATTTCCATTTTCTGCTTAGACACACCTTTAGGAACTTACATTTCCTAAGTTACAAATCCACGCGTATCCACAGTTGCTTCGGCGGCAATTCTTCCTGGGCGTGGAGGTACTGGCGCGAGACAGGGATCGTCTCCGGAGGACTATACGGGACCCAAGACGGCTGCAAACCTTACACGCTGCCTCCCTGCGATCACCACGTGGAGGGTCCACTCCCAAAGTGCGGTGAATTCCTACCCACCCCCAAGTGTGTAAACGCTTGCCGCGATGGCTACGACAGGGACTACCAACACGACAGGTTCTACGGTGAGTGGTCTCTCGCACGATTACACCTGTGAACATTATATAAAGACAAAGCCAGTACCACCTAAAATACAAAGTCAGCACGGGTCGTCATCGCTACTGAATCCCCAACCCGCCCCAAGTGGCAAACGCGCCGAAGCTCCAAATTCGTCGACGCAAAGCGGCAGACACGTCTGTCTTGGCGTCGCTGGAGCTAGGTGGCGCTGCATGGATCAACTAGTATCATCATCAGCATCAGTAAATCAGTAATAACATATTGGGGGGGGGGGGGGGGGAAGGCGCCGTTCTTCTCTTCTAGATGGTATTGGCAAAACGCGTGAAAGGGCATTACAAACCAATGTCCCACTTTGAAGTTATAGTGAACATGTTGGTATACGACCTTATGTTGTTAAGCGAGCACGAAGTATTCATTTAAAAAAAGGAGGAGAGCATTAAAGAAACGCGTTAACATGTCTAGAACACGTTTATGAATGCAATCAATTTTATTTCAGTGCTTAACTGTTTGATATAATGGTCTGGTATATCATCATATCTAAGGGATATATCTGTCAAATAGCAACAGTTATTGTTTATGTCACTGTTCTGAAGAAAGTTTTCTAGAAAAGCGTCGACATGTTTCCCATTGAAGGTTATTATCCCAAACAAAAACTCAAACCATCAGAAAGCTTTTACATGTACTGCGATTGTGTTTGAGCAAGCAATTACCCAGCAAATCTGGTCATTTAGACGCTGACAGCTGTTGATGGCAATGTTTTGCAGCGGTGCCACGGGTGTGTTTCGTGAGGGGGCCCTGACACAACGCTACATTTAGAGAAAAAAATTTTTTTCGAGATTTTAGCCGGAAACATTTCCCGGCTAAATTATCCCCCACCAATTCATTAAACATAAATAACTACATTAAATTAAGGATTAGATAAATGTTCAATCTATGTTTAATGGTTTAAACAGTTGACAACGTGACAAAGAAAGAAAAACAATAGAGCTGCTTACCTAGGTATTTCTCGTTTTATTTTAACATGACATTAGGTAACCTAACGTCAAATAATCATGTGTTAAATGTGAATTGTACATCAAACGATTTTGAATGTCAGTGCAGAATGTCTGTGCGCAGTGTAATCGTGTGCAGCAGTGTGCGCAACGCTTCGGCTGTCATTAAAATTTCCGGGAGCCGGCAAGAAGCCGGGAATTGCTCCAATCAATTCAGATGTATGCATTTTACCAAACCGAACTGTGCACAACCGTAAGGCATAGAACACCAGAAAGCTAAACGCTAGCATTAAAAAAAAAATTGCGAATGCACCACATTTAAGACTTGTACTAGACCGTATACGGTGTATGTAAATACCCTTCGATGTAAGCGTGAATTTTATCAAGGGGCTTTACCACACGCAAGGTCTTCGCATTGGTAGAGGGAGCTGGCGCCGTCACTTGGAAGCATGTGTTGAGTACGCGCCCACAAGAACATGCAATCCGCAGCGTACGGTGTACTAACACGATCTATTGTTTCAAGAGTAATTTTGTCTTCTCGGCACTTGGTTCACTTTCACGGTATTAGCGGCCCCTTAGCCATCGTCGTGTCGAAAAGCATTATCGCGCTGCTCTTTCGAGAATACTCTCACTCACTATCGGTGCAGCACTCCAAATGAAGAGAGCGCCAGGGGAGGACTCCACAATCACTGAGACTCGATCGAGGCTTATGATTACGAAAATAGACTTTGAATGAAGAGAAAGGGGCGAACAACACCGGAATTCCAAACTCTCGAGGGCTGATCAGCTGTTTTCGGGTTATCTTCTTAAAACGCAAGGAAAGTTCGTTGACAGGACACTGCATACTATTTCCACTTTAGCAAAGCGAGCACTGGAGAGGAGGCGGCCTCCTCTCCAGTGTTCGCTCTGCCAAAGGGGAGAGAGGAGCTTCCACTTTACTCTTAAAGGGGCCCTGCAATGACTTTTTGACTGGTTTTTAATTTGCACTGAACCTGAGCGTACTGAACGTAGTAACTTAATCCAACTTTTCTTTTCTCAAATTTCGCTTTATTTTAAATGTTATAGGCAAATTAGAATTACAAAAACAAGCAAAAAATAACCTCCTTTATGACGTCGTACGTCCTGCCTTGAGTGGCCTTGAACTAGAGGAGGAGTAGTGAGCTCATCGAGCGCTCACGGCTGCCGCACTCCGTGTCGACGGCTCGAGAGGGCGCCACTAAAGCACGTGCTGGATAGGCTGTATGAAGTGGGCGGCCAGGGCAGCTCGTATTGCATTTGCAGCGCGATTAAAGCCTAATTCGGCATAACACTTCAATGGCCACATACGTCAGGAAACACGGAGTAAATATCAGTTAAGAACGGGAGCCACTTCGCGCTGCCTTACCGCCAAATGGCCAAATCGCCAACAGGGCCCGCGCCGAAGGCCTTCGGAACGCTCGGAACCGGTGGGATTCTTGAGCCGGTATACGACCACAGCGCCGCCGCGTACATCCGGGACCTTTCTACGCTCCTCGTTTGTCGTAGCCTCATCCCACTAGCCTTTTCTAGTATGCGCCGTTTTTTTTCCGCCGCTTGGTTGCGGGTATGTCGACGGGTCATTTCTCGTTTCCGTACTTTCTAAACTGCATTTGTTTCTTTTCTGATCTAAAATAGTGAACAAAAACTACTTTCATACATAATTGAAACGGCTCGCGACACTTATATTTTGTATCTCGACTAAAAAAAAAGCTCTTAGCGGCTTTGACCAGTGACAAGCCCAGGACCAAAGACGTCACATTTTGCGCGCTTTCGGTACCGCGGGTCGCCCTCGTCGGTGGAGGAGGTTTCGGCGTCGTCCGGTTAAAATATGACGCACTGATATTTAGTTACTCTCTCCGTGCCCGCTGGCTTGCCCCAACCCCAAGAGACGTGGAAACCGCAAAAAAAGTAGACGCTTAAATATGATTGCAGGGCCCCTTTAACCTGTTACCGACTATTGGCCTCGAGATCGACCTAGAGGTGGCGCTACGGTTGCGCTATCATCATCATCAAAACGGGGATAGGAGAGCGGCCGCCCCATGGGCTCTCCACGTTCGCGCGCGAGACGGCGTATTTTCTTGCGTTTATTTTGTCGCGTACTATCGGTGGGAAAACAATTCTAGCGAAAAAGGATGCGGTACTGTTCGGTGCTTCAGTGATGATCGAATCGTGCTGCCAGCGTAAGGTCTAAATTTTTATAATCGCTTATGTGGGTGCGTCGTCTGCTCTGGGCAGACGTTGGAAAGCACGGATCTGCCGTGACTGTAATAAACGAGTGTAGCGGAGTAACGCAGCCGTGTTTTTGTTATTAAATGCCTTTCTCCGTAGTGTGGGTTCACCAGCTTCAGTTTTATCGGTGAGGGCCGCGGATGTCAAGAGGCTAATGCTATAAATGTCTGGCTAAATAATCTTGTATTCAACCACAGTAGACACTGCAACCCAGAAAAACAACGCGCACCACGTCACAGACAGCATCGGCCGCAGTGATACTCTTTTACTGATGAGGGCTAACGACCTTCACGAGACTTTCCGATCATCCTCCGCCCTCACCTAACGTATATCGGGACTGGGCAGTACATCGGTGAACTTTCAGATTATTCAAGTAATGCTTTATTGCAATTTTCTTTTTGCCGGTTAATTGGAGTGTTGTGCTGGAGAAAGTCAACGAGGAGTAAAAAATGCCTTATTTAATATTTTTGACGTCTTTATTTCTTTTGTGACGCAGGCTTGCACGGTAAACCACTTCAGCTTGCTTGTCATTTCACCGAGGGTGGTTATACTGTTTAAAATATAACTAAAAAAATACTTCATTTTAAAATGCTTCCAGTGTTCATATTTATGTAGGACTCACAACGTGAAGTTTAGAATGGGAATGCATTATGGCCATTTATGACATAGTAAAACCAGTAAGAAAAAATGTGTAGTTTTAACGTTTTTCGTGCAGTATGACCGGCGAAAAATCAACATACGAATTTGTTGATTGATTAGTCTATTAAAGGATAGCGATCAGTCGGGTCTATTTTCTCATCGAACCACAGACCCACTCAACAATCAATGCTTTATGAAAGCCACGGTTTGTGCGAGATAACAAAAATACGTGGGACCAGCCATTGTATACAAACCAACACACTAAGAATATGGAAGCTTCCGACTTAATAGCAATCGCTTCGCTGAACTGGGAAGCAGGGAAACGATACAACACAGCCTTTAGTAGGAAGAAACGGCAAGAATATCAAGCTCAGTCTGAAACGGCCTTGCGTCGTCGAGATCCATGCTTCTGAGCGTGCGCCCGTAGCAGACGACGCACGGCGGTATCCCCGCTTTCGCGCGTTTCCAATTTCGGCCGCACGGTGGCCGAAATTGGAAATGCGAAATTGGAAATCTCGAGGCGAATATCCGGATTTTTCGGTGTTTATGTCACACTTTTGTATATGTCGCGTTTTTCTATAAAAGCCGTTTTTACTAAAACAGTTGGCATATAAGTCTTTGTAAAAGCGGGCCAAAGCGTGTAGCTGCGAAGGATGTCACGCGGAGTCCCCACGTTTCGGAACTCCGGAAGAGCGCAGGCCATCGACGGGTGCTCTGCCGTTCCTTGTTCGTAAAGTAAATGTTGATACAACCTACACACGTTTGCAAGTACGGTCTCTGGACGCCGCCATCTTGCTTTGAGGTACCAAGATAACACGATCACGACCAATTAGTAAGGCGTCGTGATCGGATTATGGCCGCGCCCAAGCGCACCCCAAGTGAGCAAGATGGCGGCACACGGAGACCGTACTGGTAAACGTGTACACCTTGCAATAATACTTGTATAAAAAAAACACGCATATAAGTCGCATTGGTGTAAACGACGCACCATCAGAAAATTTTCGAGAAAAATATTGTAATTATGCATGCCAGCAAAACATTGTACCACACCTATTTCGCAGTTTTACGAGCCCTGGTTAATTATATATAGGCAAAAGTAGGGTGCGCAGACACAGCAGCCGTAGGATGATAAAAATAAATATCTAATTTAATGGCGAAAAACGTTACACAAGAAAAAAGACTAAAGTGTCGAAAAGAAGTTATATTAGTTTACAAGAATAATCAAGGGTAGACGCAAGACGCTAGTTACACGGGGAAAAACTTGAAAAGGGACGGAATAAAAGTCAAAGTTTATTTAGATATATTTATGTGAACTGTTAGGACCAGTGTCTCGTCTTAGCCTTTTACGCTGGTCCTTCTTCCGGACACTGTCTGAAAGAAAAAGCGAAATAAATTAAATCATTTTTTTTAAAAGTCCAGCTATTTAGTTATTTTATTGGAATTTGTTTTATTCGAAGCTTGAGGGAAGCTAGCTTTAATATAGTCTTGCCACTATTTCATTTTAGAAAATATTTCACGTTAGATAAGAACCAAAATTTCGAGAATCGAATCGTATTCACGATAAAATCCAGATTATAAGTTATAACCCAACCAAAAATTTAAAAAGAAAAAAAATTGCGCAACGAATGGTAGTACGACTTGAAAAACTAGCATAGGTGCCTTGTTCTCGTACATAAAGCCCCGCGGGCTCTTCAACTGGTTGTTTTCTTATTCACATGCATAAATATGCCAGCTTGTAATATTTATCTGCCTCAACAATACACTATTGCGCCAGGGAGTGACGGAAAGTCTATTTGTTCACGGAATGAATATATCACGCTATACTAAGTCATACTTCAATCGTTTTTGAATTGAAAAAAGGTTAAGTCTGCTCTATACATATTTTGGGCATTTTTTGTGTACGCTCATGCACGGTCTTGCGTTACTACTGACAAGTTGTTTTGTTTTTGGGAGGTATATCTTCGGTTGATAGAAATATTCCCTCGGTGCTTTGCTACTGTCGTTTTAATCTATTTTCTGCATAAAAGAGTTCAAGTGGGAGTTAAGTGTATTAAGTGCGAAATAATTTATATCGCGTAAATCAATATCAGCGCAAACACAACGATGATGGGCCACCGAAAGGATTGTAACAAAGAAGCAATATTACACAGCTGTGACGTCATCAGCTGGAAATCGAGTAGACACAATATAGAGACGCGGTAAACAAACCAGTCGACGAAGCATTCTATCCATCACATTATTAATTAACTTACTATCGTACCAAACCAATCGAAAGCTTGTGAAAGTTTTTTTTATATTCTACTCCGGAACAGGCACTTTATCCCCATCATGAATTTACTGTTCTTTTCTTATTTCCACATATACAACGATCAATTTATCTTTCGTTGGGGTTATGTTCATACGTTCTTTTTCTTCTTGTTGCAGGTAAAGAGGTTTACTCCATCGGGAAGAGTGAAAAACAGATACGTGTCGAGATTCTGAAAAACGGCCCACTGCAGGCGGTTATGCTAGGTTATGAAGACTTCCTCCACTACAAGACTGGTAAGATGTAACAATTGTACATAAGGTCTCTCTTGCACATGCCTAAGCAATGACTGCTGAAGGTTTGGGGAATTGTTTTAGATTAATCGTCCTTCCCCGTGCTCCCATAAACGGAATGCACGTTCCATCAGTTTAAGGTTATCAAGACCACAAAGATAAAGATCTGCAAGAAAACGCAGCTACCGCTGAAGTCCAATAACTCCAATTACAATTTGTTGGCGTATGGCATACTGACAACCTCTCTAAGCCGAAAGTAAATTATTTTCTACATAGTGCACTTACTTTTACAAGCAAGAACGGACACCATGTGTTGCAAAGCATGGTTTGAATGATAATACACGCTTCAACTCACTCTGACACCACGTCAGTATGTTGCTATTAGCAAAAAGCAAACGCTACGGTCCCTAAGAGTCAACACATACACGGAGGCGAAGTACGTGAGAGCCCTTACCAAATGTACAGGGACGAGAGCGTAAACTAAGCAGTTAAAGAAAAGGAGGAGAAACTCCCCCCTCGCCCGGACCCTGTTTCGTGTGTCCCAGACGTCGGTTTTGTGTCCCTAAAAAATTAGCCCGCCACTCGAAATTTGCACAAAAGCGACTTCCTTCTCTGCCGCTCGTGCCTTTAAAAGCACTTCACTGCCCGCTACTTGTGAGAAAGAGTATAGACACGTGTTTCGCTCAGATGCGCCGATTGGTTCGAGGGAGCCCTTTGCGTTCGCTCTTTGCCAAGCTACGGTGAAACAAAGTATGGAAACTTTCGATCAACAACAGAAAACCAAATGCGCCGTGTCCTTCGTAACCTGACAGCGTCTGCAACGATTCTGCTTGCACGGAGTCAGCGGAATAACAGCATCAACACATATACATGCGCTATTTCAAGAATAACCTTGTCGCTTGCTTAATTTTAACGCGATATCGTTTAGGAGCTCGTGTCGTAGAAAATCCGGCATCGACGTCGGTGGGACCGAAAACTACCATAATGCAACGTGCGCAGCCATATGTCACGTCACACGTCGCTGTGACGTCTTGACATTATCGACACACTAAGTTTGGCGAAACAATTTTTCGCTAAATTTCGCGAAAACTTTTTGCGCCAAATTTAATGGGAAATTTTTTCCGCCAAATTTAGCGGATCGATAGGGCCTTCACGTCATAGCCACGTGACATGACGTTACACGTGACGCTAATGACTAGACCACGCACACACGCTTAGGAACGGGCGCGGGTTTATGTGAGAAGGCCTTGCGAACGAGTACCGATAACGCTATTGCGCTCCCCTTTTAAAGCGTCCCCCAAGTGTTTTGTGCTCATGTTTACAAACGAACCGGAGCGCCCCTTGCTGACGACACAGGCACCGCGCATGCGCGATGGAGTGTGGGCAAGAAGCTCGCCTTCGCCCATAAACAAATCATTGAAATGCCATGTGGTCGGTGTCGGTGTGAGTCCCCCTGCCCTTTTTCGCTTTCGAATTGTTGATTCTCCGTCTTCTTGGCAATGCCTGACTACTCGAGCGGCCTCAGCGAAATTACCGAGGCTCGTTACACCGAAAATCTTCGCGTGAATAGTGTGACATGCGGCAATTCATTCCACGTGGACGCCGCAGAATGTACGCTAAAGCCCGATTCGCATGATGAGATTTCGCACGCACTTTTCAGTCGCGACGTCGCTCGGGCTGCAAAAGTGTGAACCATGGCTGAGATGGTCGACGTCGAGACTGAAAATCGCGAGCAGAATCGGACTAAGTGAATCAGGCATAGCAAGTTTGTGATGGCCGCTGGTAACAATGATCAACATCTCCTTGTATCCACATCGAGCCTGCTTACCAACCTTAAAACCTAAGTCTTTTGAGCACTGCACTAACTTCTTATCGCAAATACCGGGTTAACATTTGGTCTAAGGGCCGGTATCGTCTAAAAGAGTAGACGACAAGCAGAAGCGTTTGAAAGAGCAAACGACGGTCCGAACGATCAGGCGGTTGTTCGAACTTGAAGACGCACTGAACGTAGTTCGCAGGTGGTCCGTACAACTTGATGGTTTACCGGCGTTCAAGTTTGAACAAAACAAATAAATCTGATGACCACAGGTGTCCGTGAATTCAACCCAAAGTGCTTCCCGCCAAGGGCGGATGCAGGAATTTCCTGAAAAAGGGGAAGGGGGGGGGGGGGGGGGGTTCATGTGTTAATCAGCGTACCATATGTTTAGGAACCCCCTCCCTATCTTCTTCGTTTCAAGCCCTAAATTTTACACGTGCAGAAATCAAGAGGGGGTCAAGAAATCTGGACCCCCCCCCCCCCCCCCCCCTCTAAATCCGCCCCTGCTTCCTGCCCAAACAATCGTGGGCTGACGGTGTCAAATTCCCCATTTTCGCGGCACATATCCACGTTCTCGGACGAACCGAGCACATGAAATTTGATCTTCAAACCTTTCTCGACTCTTTTGGTACAGCCCCAGTCGCGGCGTTTTGACGAGAAGGCAGGTTTTTGTCGGATACCTTTCAAAACAACGCAGGAATACACGTCTCACATGGGGACTTCCGCCTACAGCCCCAGACCAGAAGTGCGCCCGACGGGCCACCACCGCGCCGTGACGTAACGAAGATGAGTTTGCGTATAGGCCGTGAAAAATTCGTGTTACTGCGTTACCAATTTGAGCACTTTTTGCCTTTGTTTAAAGATCCTGCAGTGTGCACGCTTACCCGCCACTCGGCTTAACTCCTGCTGCACCGTGTTGGCCATTTGTGGCGAGTCCGACATCTACTAACGATGTCATTATGTGGATGTCTCGTCTCCCAAATGGTATTTGGCAGTGCACGGCGACGCCGTCCAAATTTAACGCGGGAAAACTCTCTACCTGACATCGCGTGGCGTCACGTTGTACGACGCCACATGTTTCTCGCTAAGCCCAGTTGGGAGATTGTGACGTCACGTGATGTCACGCGACACTTCAATGTCACGTGAACGTCTCCCCGCTAAATTTAGCGGGTCGCGGTGTTAGGTGACGTCTTCTGACGCGATGACACCTAACGCTATGGTGCCTGGAACGCGTCTCCAACTGGTGTTTACCGCGTCCAAAAAAGTCCCTCGATTTCCGCCTGATGACGTCATAGAAGCGTCATGCTGTCGCCGATCGCGATTCTGGCGGCGTCTCAACAGTTGTGGTGTATACGGCAGACGCCTGTTCTGCTGTAGGTCGCTCTCCACTGTGACAGTCCGCGGAAGTTAAAGCAGCCGGACGTTGGGACGCCTATGACGCCGTGACGACAGCGACACTCGCGTTCGCTCGTGCTTTTCGGAAGCATCTCTACTGCCAACCGCCAGGATCGCGACAGGCAACAGCATGACACTCCGGCTTCTGTGACGTCATTTGTTGCCACTTTGGGACCACTTCTGATGTATGGGCGGGATAGAACGCTAAACACACCAGTCGAAGACGCGCTCCAGGCACCATACTAACGTTGCGACGTCATGCGGAGCGTTTCCCCATTAACTTGAGCGGGAAACATTCTCCGCTAAAGTTAGCGAAGAAAACGTGACGTCACATGACACTGTGACGTCACGCCTTTCGTCGAGCTTCGGCGCGTTCGCCGTTTGGGGAGGAGCCGGGGAGCCACGAACGATGACGTCATAGTGATGATCCCATACCCTCACGACTGCCGCCTTTGACCGAGGTCAACTGGGAGTTTGCTTTAAACTTGATGTGATGAACGAGTAGAGCGAATAAATACTGGTTCCCACATCTGCACTTCAACGGGATCGACTGCGCGTTTCAAACCGCATATAGGATAATAATTCAGATGCAAATTCAGACAAGGTTTTGCGGTATGTTCGAGATAACACTTTCGCACTATTGACGAGAAATGGTTACTACTTATAACTTTGTCCGAATTATTATTTCAATCACACAGCGATTGAATCGTGCGTAAAACATACGTAGAGTGGAAGTCCGACTCGCGGCGCATGCAGTCGACCACGCTCAAACGCAAATGTGTGAAGCAGCTTTAACGCGCATATCCTCAGAAGATGTATTTTCGTTATGCTCCCTTTTTGCATAGGTGTCTACAAGCACGTGAGCGGAAAGTTGCTTGCAGGCCACGCCGTCAAGATTATCGGCTGGGGAACCGAGAAGGGAACACCGTACTGGCTCGTCGCCAACTCGTGGAATACCCACTGGGGTGACAAAGGTGAGCGCTGTAATGTCTTATCCACGCGCTAACAACTTTTTAACTAAAGAAGAAAAAAGCTCGAGGTACGCCTAAGCACTTCTTATGAGTTTTGAAAGTGAAAGCATGCAAACCGCTCGTCCGCTCCCTTTTTCGTCTGCTGCGTACTTTTCGTCGCCGGTCAGCGCGCGTGCTCCCCTGGGCATGCTGACCTTGGACGCTCCGTGTTAACGGCGCGCTGATGGACACACAACGCCATGCGGTGAGCGATCGTGGAAACTGACGAGCGCAGCGGCCAATGGACCCGTCGACGCGCGCCAGCCAATCGCGGAAACTAAGTGCCGTTTTCGAGCTTCAAACTGATGACGTCGGCTCGCTCCATGGGACAGTTAATGCTTCCGCATTAAAAAATAGAAGGACTGGAGGTGTGTGCAGGGGTATTTTCTAAAATGGATCGCTTACAAAAACTCATCAAGCAACAATGAGGGTGGCTACGCTTTGGGCTCGAAGAGTGGGATATTGGATCAGAGTCCACGCCAAACACTGATGCTGCACTCGTTTCCAATAGACACTGAACCGAGTCCGCGCCCAACGCTGACGCTAAAATTCTTATTCAATACATCCGCAAAGTTCATGTAAAAAAAATGGCGTCCTCGTATAATAGACTATTTTCAAATATGCCATCAAACAACACTGGCGGTCGCCTTTTGATGGGCAACAAGACCTCGCAGAACGCTGCACTCGTGCCCCACCCAAAAACAAGCTGCTTGGTGTGCCACTGGCCGTGGGCACGGCGCGCGGCATGGAGCGCTGCATGGAGCCGATGGAGCAACGCGGCCGCGGTGGACAAGTCCGATAACGACAGAAACAATGGAAGCACACAAAACATATTCCTACGGCGCTTAAAAAGCACCAAAGTATAAGAATAACCCCTAGTTTCGGTCAAAAAGACCCCCCAAAAAGTTGTAAAGTGCTGCTAAACCACGCTGAAAGGTCCGGCCAGACGGCACCTGACACCTACGTGCATGGGATAGAAAGAGACCTCGAAGATGGCGACCGTGGTGGCCAATGCCAGCGCAACTAGAGAGTGACGTCAAGTGAATGTCACCTATAGGCAAGGGCAAGTGTGATCATGCACATGGCGAAACATAAATGCACGACCGGTTTAAGGTGCACGTATACTTTCCACCGCATTGTCAGTTTAGGGGTGAGCCTAGTATATTCTAGCCGTTATTCTGATGCTAACGGGACAATTAAAAGCTCCTACCAAACTTGTTTGTAGAAGTTGATTTCTGCTGGTGCAATTATTCCTTCCTTTTTTAGGCTACTTCAAGATCCTACGTGGCAGCAATGAGTGCAACATCGAGGGTCAGATTCACGCTGGCATCCCCAAGTTCTGATGTTCGAATAAATGAACGCGTATCAGCCAACGTGCTTCCGTGAGGTTGACTTTCCCATTACAAGCGCACGTAAACCCCGTACTGCAATTATGCGGGGCGTTTCTGCGGACACTTCTAAAAATTAATAAAACTAGGGTGGTTGAGGAAAAAAAATGCCTTTCGATATCAAACTGCCAGCTACGGCTGACGGCAGGAATTGCAAAGAAACAGACTTATTAGCAAAATAATTTCCTAAAATTCAGAGAATGAAAAAGAGAGAAAGAGAAATAGAAAATAAGTGATCGTTTTGGAGATACCAAGAATTTACTAATCCACTTGTTCAATAGTGAAAATAAACATATCGTTCCAGTTAGAGACTTACTGAGCGTCATTGAAAACCACTAAATCGCTCAATTTTAGAACGACTTGAGGGATTTGCGGGGGTGCGCTAAACTTGCAACTGGTGCAGCAGGCGCAAGCCCGGTGATGAAAAATACGGAATTTTTTTTTTATCATTGGCGTTTTGCATTGCCGTTTCTGTGCCTGCTGCACGAGTGGTAACTATATACACCACCTTCATTGCCTACATGTAGAAAGAGAAGATAGTACGGATCTCCCTGGAACTTATCCTAATTTTGCCCATGTGACAAAATAAGATCCGCAGTAAATTCTCCGCACGCAGCACGCGCTCGCCGCCAGTGGGCATAAAAAAAAACACTAAAAAATTACTAAAAAAAATGAAAGCCATTTACAACTCCCTGTAACGCCGAATTGGAGCGCAGCTCTTGAGGAGGAGGAGGGAAGGGTACTGAGGGGAGGGTTACCCCTCCTCCTCCCTCGTGACCTGAGGGGGGGGGGGGGGTCACGTGACCTTACGGCTACGCCGACGGCGACGCCGCTCAAGCCGGAAACGGGCGCCTAAGAGCTGCGTTTTAAAAAGATTCCGGGGACACGTAGGCACTCTTTACGAGTTGTGAATGCGAAAGCATAAATGTCGCTCTTCCGCTCCCTTAGTTCGTCTGAGGCGTACTGGGGTGGACGGCCACGTTTCTCTACTGACAAGGTAGCGGCCGACGGCCGAGCGCGTGCTCTCGTGAGGTAACCGCGCCGCGCTGAGCTCGGCCGTGCGGTCTCTTCGGAGTTTGCCCGTGCGAGCTCTGAGGCCAGGCCCGCATCTCTTACCGGCTGCCGGACAGCTACGTGCGCTCTATCGCCATGGAGAGGGCTTCTCTGGTGGCGTTCCTTGGAACTACGCCACACGAGAGCCAATGGGAGCCTTGTTCCTTGAAACTATGACGCGTGCCAGCCAATGGGAGCCTATCCATCAGATTTCTGCTACAGACGACAGGCTTCGCTCCACTGGGACAAGGGAAGGTGCTGCTTGGCGTGGCTTCAAAAGCTGATGACGTCGGTTCGCTCCATGGGACAGTTAATGCTTCCCCATTAAAAGAGCCGTATTTTGATCCTTCTGTGTTGTGTCGATCTCTCAAGACTTGAGTCTATCATAAATACATGTGCTTAAAACCAAAACTTTAATTCAAATTTCTTCCATTATTTCACTGCAGGTCTTCATCGTCGAAGAGATCGTCAAAATCTGCAAGGAAAAAAGAGGGGGGGGGGGGGGGTTAAATGAGGCACCTCCTCCTTCATGTCAGAAAGCTGCGGCCCTTGGAAGCAAATTATATGTTTCGGTTCTTGGGGTTAGCTCAAGTGCGGTGCCTAGAACGGCGTTCTCAACTGGTGCATTTAAAGCATCCTCATAAGTGTTTTCTCAATTTCTGCTCGATGATGTCGCAGGAGTGTCATGCTGTTGCCTGCTTCGAGGCTGGTGGCGGCAAAGCAGAGGAGGAGAGGAGGTGAATGAGGCAGATGCCTGTTTCTGCTGCAGGTCGCACTCCGGCTCGACAGCCTACGAAAGCTTCAACAGCCACGTGGCAACAACGGCGATGCTCGAGTTCGCTCATACTTTTTGCCAGAACTTCAATGACCTGCCGCCAGGATCGCGACATGCGACAACATGACATGGATGGATGTTAATGGGCTATACCCATTGTAAGGGTGGTAGCTCGCGCCACCTAACCTAAGTCTAAAGAGACAAACATGCCGGTCCCGGGACCACTTTCGATGCTAAACATGCCAGTCGAAGAAGCGTTCTAGGCACTGTAGCACAGGCATCGTGCGATTCGGGAGAAAATATCCCGTCACTGGAACTCCTCTATGTGTTCTCTGAACACGGGAATATCACAACCTCCTGCAATACTGTTTTACGGCAGCTCCGTGTTTTCTTCTGCCATGTCCCTCGGTTGGAATTGTAGCTCGTGACGGGGAATAGTTTCGGGACGTGCAAGGCCACACGCAACCAGGGAAACAAAGCACCAAAGTGAAACTGCACTCGAGGTATGGCAAACAGCCCCAAAAAAAGTTGAAATGTGCTATTTTTAGATTCTGTGACCTGTGAAAGCAGAAAGGAGCGACAAACTAAATTCGGCAGTCGTTCCCAGTTAGCAATGCTCGCTTATCTCCCCACCGTGGCTAACTAACACCATTCTTGCCGAGGTCACCACTGACCAGGGCCCTGCAATTGCTAGAAGTAGGCTGTCTTTCAGTGTTCTAGAAAAAATAACCAATTATCCCAAAAATATGGGTGGGTTACTTCTGGGGGTGGGTCACCTCTCGGGGTGTTACGGTAGTTTCGGACAATGTATCAAAATTTGGGGATCACTCCACACTCAAAACGAATCTCGCGAGGTGAATAGTGCGGTAAACTGCATTTTTTTATTGGTGGGAAGCACTGATCTCTATTGTAGTAGGCTGGATCGCGGACCGCGGCCTCGGCAGCTGGGGCCGAGTGTCGCCACCGGCGGCCATTGATTGACACCAGCCAATGCATGGGACTCTATGGGAAAGAACGAGAAAAAGTGCCGTTTTCCCCGTTTCTAAGCTTTTGTTGGCACTGAAACTTTTTGGGTGCTTTTCGATAAGCCCGTCAAATAGATTGCGTACAAACATTAAAACTCATGGCCCTCGCAGTTCTTATAAATAAATATTTTGTGGTCGAGAGTGACTCCGCTGTAATGCAGCTCAATGAGGCGAGAGTCACCTAGAGTTACCGCGGAGTCGGTGGCGATTTTGTTGAGTTGGGTTTAGCAGACGACAAGCTCGAAGGCTTTGCTACGCGGAATCGGCTCACTCCCGGAAAGCCGCTGTCGAGATGGAACTTCTTTGTTATTCATCAACTTCTGGGCTTCTTCGAGGACGATCTTATTGACGTCAAGTTCCTTTATTTACTCCACTACGAGAGCAAGCTTGCCAGCTCAGCCGTAGGTGCTCCGGTAGGTGTGATTTTTTTAATCGGCGTTCGAACGTTTGACAGATACCGATTCGATCTCCAAACACCCGACATAAGGATTGCATCACACCATAAAATACTCGCCTCCGAGCACAGCCTACATTCTTCAATATTCTTACTTTTGTGCGTTTCTCCCATAGACTTGCGTGTATTGCCTGGTGTCAAGCAATGGCCGCCGGTGGCGACACCGACGGGCTACCGATCCGCGATCCAGCCTACTACAATAGAGATCAGCGGTGGGAAGTTTATTTTCTGACACACGTCTCCAATCTAGGCACTTAAAAATATCTTTTTGGGAGCTCAGTTTTCCTAAGAGTGACTCTGAAACACAGTCAGCATGCCAAACTATTATAATGGCATTTAACATACAAACAAAAAAAATTTTTAAAGCATGTTTTGAGAAATGTGTGTTCTATGTAGGCGCTTGTCCTTCGTTTCCAGCATTTTCTTTTTTTTTTTGGAAGGGGGGGGGGTATACAAGTGCTGGAAAATGCAAGAAGAGTAGGCCTCGTCGAGTCACAGGATCCCAAGAAAGCAGCGCCAAGCTCAACATATGGTCGCCATTTTGGTTCACGGAATCAGGGCCGTAACCAGGGGGGGATTAGGGGGTTCTGACCCCCCCCCCCCCCCCCCCGAAATTTTTTTCTGGGTACGGCCCTGGTCGATGCACTTGCAGCCAGTCGATTTTAATCTCCACCTCTGCGCACGCGCAGTGGCGCCGGTTGGCTACCGGGTACCAAACCGGGATCAATTCTCCGGTTTGCTGCAACTCTCCATTATATGCCACTGATGTACATGATTCATAGGCGAAAATAAGACAATAGACACTTTCAAAATGGCCGCCGTTGTCCCCGAAACCCCCCCCCCCCCCCTGAAAATTCTCGGTGAGCCAATCCAAACACCCGGTGACAGGTTGTTTCATCCACATTCCTCGAATGTTGAGATTTTGTTGTCCAGACGCCGGTGAAACAAGCGCACGTCTTCGCACTGCCAAAGGTTGCGGTGTCAGTGCTTGGCGGTATTGGAAAATAATTTTCCTCTTTGCAATATGGAAGAACAACAATACCGCTGTGAGAGGTCTGTGGAGATAATAGCATGATCGACGAGGTGATTGCACGCACGTTGCAAACAACACTTATACTGGCGAGGAACGCTTTTAGTACAATAATGCCCCTTAGTGATCTTGGCGCAACTGGTTCAAAACAACCCTTTGGGACCCTCGAAGATTTGAATGAACCGAGATGTCGACTGCAATGGCGACTAAAACAGATCAGCCAATCACCTTGCGAGGTTCGGTCGCCTGTATGTTCGTACCGTAAAACACCATAGAAGCGCCCACTATTAATGTGTTCCAGACTTGGGAATTCTGGAAATTATACATTAAGCACTCGATTTGACCGGTCAAGCGTCCACGTCTAGATTGATCCAGTTTTCAGTGAAAGAAAGTGGGCGGACCCCAGGAATTTTACGGTACCTGTTTGCATCAGGGTACCAGGCAGGGAAGGCAATGGCGCTACTTTCTCAGGATCCAGTGGCTTTAACATTGGCTAGAGGGAGGGAGGGAGGGAGGGGGAAGGGGGGGAGGCAGAGTGTGGGGCTCACCGTTGTAGAAGTCGGCGTGGACCGACTTCTCGTTTGCAGCAAGGTCCATCAGGAGGCCGCTTGAACCTCCCGCCTGCAGAAAAAGCTCTCTTAGTTGGCGGGGAAGCGCTCCATGATTTTCTTGTGGGTGCTGCCATTGCAGTGCTTGTGGGCACTGCCATTTCAGCGCAAGTGACGATCGGCATGATTAAAAGTTGGGATTTCCTGAGGTTTGGCTGCAGTGTCGGGAAGCCCTGGGGTTAGTTTCGCACTGTTCTGGAATGTTGTAACACACAGCGTCTTTCACTGGGTCCACGTGTGCACAGTCCATGTGCACCGGATAGCTAATGCATCCTCCACTGAGGCTCGCACCACCCGGGCAGCCGCACTGAGCAACTTCCGTTTGCAGCACGCACAGCACGCATGGGCACGGGTGGACGGCGCCACACCGAAAGAATCGTCAGGTCTGCTTACAGTTCAATATGGTGGCACCCGATCAGAAAAAGGTTATGGTTCCGATGCCACCTGCCAGGTCATCTTCGCTACAGAAAAACTTTGCGGTGTGGGTTGTTCGGCCATCGCTGCAACATGAGTGTAACAAGTTCATGGGGGTTCGTTCCTCGACTGGGTTCGGCACGCCCTCCAGCTCGATGCAATGCGATTAAGCGAGAAATCTTTGAGCGGAGAGTGTTTCCCTGTGTCGTCATCGGAAGAATGTGGTCTTCTCGTTGTCTGAAGTTAGACCAATTGAAACTGACAATGACTGCGAGGGACCGAAACGACTGGCTACGATTCGGCATCCAGAAATTGCTCGACAGCAATCCCAGCGCAACACTCGATCAGCTTTTGAAACAGAACAACTGGTTTGGATCCCCGTTATAGTTTGGACGACAGCCTGGAAACTAGAACTAGCATTACTAGAACCTATCATGCCAGATCCATGTCAACTGAGCATGGATCTGACATGCCTCACCTGACTACATTTGAGGGAAGAGGTCATCCATCATGTGTGTACTATCGGGGAAAAATGAAATGCGAACAGAGGAGCGCGTGGCTCGCGGTACAGGCTGCGCCGCCTGGAAGTGAGCCTAGGAGCGAGGGTGCGTGGCCTACTCCGACGTGTTCACGCCCCTCCCTCTGCGCTCCCCAAGCTTCAGCAGTGCGCCGCTATCTTTGCTGGCTCAGCGCGTGCAGTGCAAAGAAGCTCGCCGCACTCGCCAAGCAGGCAAAGATAGCGGTGACAGCTTTCAGCGCACTGAGAGGCGCACTGCCGAAGCTGGGGGAGCGCCAATCGAGAGGCGTGAACACATCGAAGTAGGCCACGCACCCTCGCTCCTAGGCTCACTTCCAGGCGGCGCAGCCTGTACTGCGATCCACGCGCTCCTCTGTTCGCATTTCATTTTTCCCCGATAGTACCTGTGCCATCAGACGTCTTAGCGTTCCAGTTATTCCTGGGACTTGCAGCTCACAACTCGCGCTTTCCGCTACGCTATACTGATGCGGCCGAATCCGTTAGGAGACTGCTACACCAAAATCATCAACATCATTCACATCTGACCCAGGTCTCCCGGTGGTTGCAACAACCAACACCTGGGATACAGGACGTAGCAAGGAACTTTTTTCGGGGAGGGGAGGGGGCACTAAAGCTTCACAAGCCTCTCCCCTAGATATGCCACTGCTAGGAGCTTCACAAAGCGACTTCTGCATCCAATACACCTATGCTCTAGGAAAATAAGGCTCTAATATGTCTGCTTGCAGGCCATGTTAACCTCTTGGGGGGGAAATCTTCCACTCAGAACTGATCATCAGCCGCTGGTGACTCTACTGTCGTGTAGAGGCACACGGCAGCTAAGATGGCTCTGTGCATTGCTGTCTGGTCTTTCGGAAAGTTCCACTTTTTGCAGAGAATGCTCCAATCCCAGACCAGAGCTGGCTGTTCCTACGTGTTTGGAACTCATCCCCCTGCCGTTGAATCAATCCACCACTCAACTCATTAACCGTTGAAACCATTCACCGTTAAACCCATCCATCATTAAATTCCCCTGTCGCATGTAATCTTCCGGCCACAGGACTTCGGTCTGCCTGAACCCTCATGTTCATATAACCTGTACCCGACAGCTTACTGCCGGAAGTCTTCTCTCTCGACCAAGATCCGTTTGTTTCTCCGAGCCCTCCCCCTATCCGCCCCCTTTCATGCAATAAAGATGCTTTGAATCGAACCGAATCGAAAAGGCGCCACCAAGCAGGCCTTTTGTTGGAAAGGCTCACCTCTTCAAGATCCGTGTAGGGGCCGGCTCCCTCCGGGAACATTTCATCGGCTACCACCACGCCGGGTTTCATGATGGGTGTGCAGTGTCAGTGTGGATCAACAACATCAACCTTCAACGTTGCACAGTTGAACGGCGTCCGTTCCACTCAACCAGGGCCCGACTCAACCCACTCGACGACCGATGGACACTAGTAATCCACCACTCGCACGCACGTCGCACGTCCAAAGAATCACAGCAGCCACAGCGCCACAGCCAATGACAAGCCAACCGAATCCAATCCAAGCCAGCTCGGCTCAAAACAAACTGGCACATTGGCATCGTTGGCATCCAGCGAGCTCGAATAGCGCGTTGAACGATGTGCGGTAGACCTCGAGTCCCGTTTGACATGCACAGCTTTCTCGACATGATCGAGACATTCCCCTTCTTATACGACAAGCGTCACACGAACTTCAAAAACAAGAATCTCAAGCGAGGAGTCTGGGCCGAAATTGGCGACCAGTTCGGTCTCAACGGTGAGTCGAACGCTCCAAGTGTATTCTTTACTCGACTTTGAATTTATATTCCTGAATCTATATTGTTCCCCCTTTTTATTTAGGACCTTTCGGGTCAGGACCAGTGGCTGAGGCTAAATTCAAGAACGCCAGAGACAAGTACACAAGGATCAAGACCGAGATCCGAAGTGCCAAGCGAGGCGACGCCAGCGGAATCATCAGAGTGAAATGGCCTTACTTTGGGCGGTTGCAAAAGATGATAGACCCCGGATTTGCGGGAAGAATGTAAGTTGCTACTGAAAATAATTTTGGATGGTCCCGTGAGCAGGGCAGAACTGACGAGCCATTACGCACAAACCGGCGAGTTGTTGGAAGGAGGTTCCAAAAATCTGTACCTAACTGAACTCTTTTGATTCTTGATACTTCTCTGCGTGCAACCTATTTTTAATTCCGGCCTTTTGGGAAGCTACAGTTGTGCCAGCAGTTTGTTCGACTACTAAACCAAGATTAACACTTTTCATGTTTTTGCTTTTCTGCCATGATGCAGCTTCTCATCACAGAAACAGACTACTTGGAATGAATTGAGTTCACACATTCATAAACTTCTGACATTCCTGTAAGAGGGAGGCAAACTAATAACCAATCAAAGAGTCTATAACTTATTTTTAGTGCTAGATGTTTGATGCACATGTAAAACATAATATAAAAAGCCTGCACCTTGCTGAAAATTGGCCTGGAGATATTGAAACTGGCACGTGATAAACATGAGAGCTGTGACCCTTGCTCAATGCAAGTATTTGTTTTTGCCTGGCTGTATCTGTCTGTACTAGCTTCTCTACTGAAAACAGTGTCACAAGCAAACTACATCGTACGCAAACAATGGACCTTTTTTGAGTAACGAGCGTTGTCTGGGGCGTTGTCTGCAAACTACAATAGAAGAGCAGCCCAACATGCCTTCGCCCATCAAAACACATAGTTGTATCGGTTTTCAGTGCTTTGTATACCCTATACTAACATACTAAAAAACAAAGCGTCAAAATAGACTAAGTACACGTGAATATAGATGCTGACATTGCTGCTATCGCCATTTTCGCAGGGCAGCACGTCTCGGTGTCCTGCAAAAACGGTGACAGCGGGAGTGTATGCATGCGCAGAAGCTTACTGGGAAAAGGTCCGTTGCTTTATTGACATGTCGGGATTCCGCTCGTCAGACGCAGTAAGCATCGTAATCCTTCCAGTGCCAAGTAGAGCCTTCACCGGTCCAATGGTTTAAATGAAACGACGTCAACTGTTCTGTCAAGTCATACTTGTTTGCCATTTCTTCCTCTGAATACCAGCATTGTGCTGCTGCTCTGCGTTTGCTGTCTTCTGGCTGGAAGAAGGAATGGATGATATTTGCTTCACCCCTCGTGTTGGGTGGTAGCTTGTGCCACCTACTGTTTCCGGCAGGATGAAACCGGCGGGGTGCCCCTTTCGGAGGTTCGGCCGTGCGCACGCGCTTGTTGCCTTCCGCTGGGGTGCCCAGAACGCATCTCCAACGAGTGCATTTACCGCGTCCGAAAAAGCTGGTCCCTCGATTTCCGCCCGACGACGGCTTAGAAGCGTCGTGCTGTCGCCATCCGCGATCCCGGCGGTGTCACAGCGGCAGCAGTGGACGAAGCAGATGCCCGTTCCACTGCAGGTCACTTTCCATCTCGATAGTCTAGGGAAACTTCAAAAGTCTCGACGCCTCGATGTCGGCGTCACTCGCGTTTGCTCGCGGTTTCTGCCGGAACTTGTACGCCCAACAGCCTGGATCGCAACGTCCGACGGCATGACACTTTGGCCTTTGCGACGTTGTCTGTTTTTACTTCGGTACCACTCTGGATGCACGGGCGGAGTAGGACTCTAAGCGCACTGGTCGGGGACGCGTTAAGATCACCACGCTTTGGCTGCACATGCACGCTCGAAGCTCGCGAGGTGCCAAAGTGTTACTGGAGGTTGACGCTCTTGCTAGAGGCGGGACGGCAGAAACTCCTTTCCGTCATTCTTGTACTGTAGGTGACTGGAGGATTAGATTTGGATTTCTTTGGCTCCCCTTTGTCGTGGGTGACCGCAGAACTTTGGATTCTAGATCTAGCCATTGAGCCCTTCTGCTACTTCCACTGTCTGGAACGGGAGTTGGGTTTTAGCTAGGGTCCCGTGTTTTCAGAGTTCATTTCTCGTGAAATTCCTGAGATATATTTTTTTTTTTTTAGTTAATTTACGATAGATTCTAGACTCTTCAAATATCGAAGTTTAATTTTGTTCTTGCACACTTTTTCAAAAATCAGTATAGAAAGAAATATTATCCGGATGTAAATGACTTCAATATTACCCGGCCTAAATTCGTAAGAACTTACCTGTATCAAATATATTTCTTTAGCTGAATTAGGGGCTCACACTCTTGTTACAGTGCAATCCACTTATAACGATAATCAGAAAACCCAAAAATTCAATCTTCATAACAGATCATTGTTGTATCTAGACTAGAAACTGATTGTTTCTGGTCTAGGAATGCTATAAACTGATTGTTATAAGTGGTATATTGTTATATGTGGTATCATATTATAAGTGGATTGCACTGTATTAGTAATACTAACTGCCCCACAACAAAACACCGTTGATACTTTAAAATCGCTGAAATCCTTGGCGTAGTCTCTGGAAAGCTTGTTTTCTTCCCATCTCATTCCACCGCTCCACCCTTCGGCTGTGTGGGGTGGAATGGTGAGGTAGAACCTTTAGCTGCTCCCCTCCCTCCTACAATCATAGCTTTCCTTGCTATAAAAACACAACCCAGCCTTCCTCTAAGAACTGAAAACTGAAAACTAGAACAGTGACTTTTCTGGTGATCCAAAATGTCAATAACCCGTTCTCCTGCACAAAACTTGACAAGACAAACGGTGAAGCTCGTTTTGTCAATAGCCCATGATTTGAAAGGAAACAAGCTTATCTGTAAAATACTGTGGTATTTTCTTTTCTCTCACTGTACACCTTTCCAAGAAACACTCGACCCCAGGGGCGAAAAACCGTTTTCGAGCCCAGTTGATCACTAAGTTTGAGACTAGACTCTCACCGGCGTCCCTGCTAACCTTAAGCGAGTGGACTGTGTTTTCAATAGGCGCAGCGTGTGCAGGCACAGGTTTTTTTCTTGTTTTTTTTTCTTGTTTTTTTCCACTGTATTTTGTGTTTCATAGTGTGTGTATTTTCCCGAGGACATTGAGAAAGCATTGTACCACGTTTGAAAAAACAAAAAAGCAAAAAATCTGTAAACTATCTTTGTTGGGTATGCACGCGACAGAACGAATGTGACTGGAAAGTATTGTCCTTTTTTTACGTCAAGTTTTGACGGCACTGCCCGATTAGCCACGTGTCAAACGACAAAGCACTAAGCTATCGAAAATAATTTACAACAGAAGATAGCTAAAAGGCATGCATTTTTCATGCTCACAAAAAATAATGTGTTACCAATGAACAGGACACAGACATACAGTTTAGTAAGTGTTAGGATTCGAGCAATATATTGGACGTACCACACGATGCAGCATTATCTGTTAAGAATTTATTTGAGAAAGATTTCAAATAACACAGTCACAGTCGACAACAGTCACATCTTGACGATCGGACGGAATCCAAGATGACTTTGTTTTGGGGAGAGCTTACTTTTTGCACACCAGTACCAATGCAAAGGAACGGGCACAACCGACTCCAACCTGAACAACTATTTTTGGCTATGACTGAGAAGGACTCTACGTGGATTATCTCTAGGAGGGGGAGAACAATTGTCATTGCTCACAAAATCACGTCGATGGACGTTCGACGTCTCTCTTTTCCTTTGTTTTTCATGAATGTCGAGCAGAAACACGTAAATGGCAGGCACCTACCAGTCCTATTTTTCCCAGTGGAAGATAACACAGAGAGGGTATGCAGCATGCATAAGAAATATAAAGTGGAAACTTTCAAGACGGGCCAGAAAATGATGAATGCAAAAACGCAAAACATAGGTAGAGAATCGTGCTGAGCGGGTTTCCACAGTCCAAGAGAGTGGCAGAAAATTTCTAGCTGATAGAGGACGGAAGAGTCGCACCAGCCGCATCAGCAACATGGCAGCGACCTAGGAGCGTTTTTTTGGAAAGTGTATTGTGGACATTGAAATTTTTAGTTTTTCGGATGGCGCCAAATCAACGAACATTTTACCGCCAAGTGTGTTTTTCGTATTCGATCGGGTTTATCTGTTAACATGGGATCCTAGCATGTCTAATGCACACTGCGGTTGCCAGACTGACATCTGTTATCAGCGTCTCCCCACCAGTGCAGGCTGACTGGTGTTTGAATTTCAGTCACCTGCGAGCATATTCACAAATTTTCGTTGTATGACCTAGTTACTAGCTACTCACTGTTGGCCCGACTTATTTTCTTACCGTGTTTTAATCTTCTCTTTGTTTGTTCTCATGTTTTATATCCCTGTATTGATTGCCAAAATGGTCTTTCAGAATTTTGAAGAACCCCGTGGCCATTGCCACTACGTCCATTGGTGATTCGTCCATTGATGCTGCTGCGCCCACTTCAGCTCCAGTTGTGTGGGTACCCTGTTCACTCATAGTTGATGCAATGTTTGACTGCATCGAAGGGATGCCTAAGTACTGCAAGAAAATGAAGCACAGAGACAAATTTGTTTAAAATGCCACGGTTTATCTTAAATGGTGTCTTTTCATTTCTGTGTTTAAGGGTTTGAACAATACTGTGAAAGTGCCCCGAGTATAATTAGAGAGGCACTGCAGGCAAGTTAGCGTTTCTAGAAATGGTGTCTCGTAAAAAAGGTGTGTTGCAATGCTTTGTCACATTTTTATAGGGAAAAAACCCACGCGTGATTGTAATTTGAGATTTTTTAGGACGGTTAAGGTGCTTAGATTGAGTTTGCGCCATAAAGAGAGAAACTCGGCATTCACTTTAGTGCCACTTTAGCAGTGAGCCTCATTTAGACACCGAAAAAGAAGTTTAAAAACACAAAATGTTGGAGTAAGCTCGCCAGTGCGGATTTCCACATTAGAATGCAAGGCGGGTCTTATGTTGCAACAGGCGTCCAGAGAATGTTAAAATCATATTTATTTCAACTTGTAGCAGTATCGAGGTCTCCGACCCTCTAACAAGCATTGGTGCAAGTGATCTGTGCTTTTTTCTTTTCTTTTTTTTTACAATATCTGTATTTCAGAATTTTGAGAAACGCCGCCATCGCCTCCGTCGCCCCCACCGTGCCGTCTCCGGCCATTCCAACCGTGCCAGCTCCCACCATACCCGCACCGACTCCAACTTTGTGAGTACACGTTATGCCAAAGCAGTTGCAGGGGTGGAACGGCTGCGCCATTTTGGGCCAAATGCATTTGTCTGTGCCACCCTGCGCCATTATGCACCAAATCGCAAAACGTGCACCAAAAAAATTGTATTTTGTCTAGGTTTCGGTTTCTGTCGACTCAATTGGCAACAATGAGCGCGTTTCGATTGGTCGGCCTTGCAATCCTTTGTTCTGTTTATTCTCCCTGTGTATGCCAAATCGGAAGTGCGCAAAAAAACTCGGGGGTCGGATTCCAAGTTCTACACCACCTGCGACTGGATTGTTATTTTTCAACCATAAGCAGTTAAGCAAGTCGGCCGAGGTATGGTCGAGTTAAGCGTCAGATTGCCTGAGGCTCTGCGGCCCAGGATCCAGACGTCAGTCAGTTGAAAACAAATGAGCAAAAGATTCCTTTCAGTACTTCATCTTTAGTAGTTGGAACCGCATTCCCGCAAGATAAATCGTGATTTGATAGAACTAAAAGGCGGTTTGATCCGAAACCTTGCCGGCCAGCAGCTCTCACGCTAGCGGTAGATCTGCTCGGCGTACTTTAACCTTGCTCCTGCTTATCGCTTAGAATACGATAGCTCTGTTAATCGTAGTCTGCTGATTTCGATATTGAGTTGCACAATAGAATGAAATAGAAATTAGTTGCCCTGTTCCACTGCGTAACTGCACGTCCATTGCTTACACTTACTATGTCGAGCATGTGTGGCTTGTGTGATAAGAGGATAAAATAGAAATTTGTTGCCCTGTTCCTCCACACAACTGCACGTCCATTGCCTACACTTATTATGTCGAGCATGTGTGGGTTTTGCGATAAGGAGTACTGGATTGCATGTTGAGCAGCTTAACGCCACTCAGAAAATATCAAAAACACTATCTTCGGAAACATATGGTACTTGCTTTTTGGTTCCCATTAAGGCTCACAAAGTTTAAAGTTTCCACATCTGTTACATGTTATTCCATTTACCTAGGTCTCCAACCACCTATGTTCATCTGGGCTGCTGAGCATAATTGAAATTGCTCCCTTGCTTGTCTAAGATACAAGCTGAAGTGCAATGAAAACTGATCTGAGCTGCTTCCAGTCTGCTCAAAAACAGTTGTTTTCAGCTGCTCCCGTGGCTGCTCCCAAGTAGATTTAATGAGTTCCACCCCCGAGTTGTCAAAATGTTTCTGGACCTCGTCTTGCGGCGCTCGTCTTTGTTGGCGACCCGACAAGTCCGTAAAGTCGCCCTTTCTAGCTATTAGTTCTACCTCGCGGCGGCAGTGCAGGGTTGTTTCATTAATATGAACACTTCTGTTCTCTCCAAAAACTGTCCATGATATGAGTCGGGCGTAATAAGGAGGCGACGTGGGTATTAATGGTGTCTAATTAACGAGACACAACTGTATAAGAGAGTCTGTGACACAAGCATCTTGCTTCGATATCTACTTTTGGTAGACTGGAGTCGCCATAATCCGTTTTACCTTATGATGGACTGCAGTGGACGCCACCAGCCATCCCATCAATCCAGTACCGTGAATGTATCGTGGGATTACGTGCCCCATGGCTCTCCTCGCAAAGACCACGTGACACCCACATGGCATTGTATTGACTTCAATGGTTTGTAGCACCTGTGGCTGTTCATCACAAGGAGAAACCAAAAATGGAAGCTGTGTGTTCAGCGAGTCGAGTCACAGAGATGGGATGCTGGTGTGCTCAGGCGGCTCTCTCCTCCTGCACTATCCATTGTTTTGGGGGAAATTCACGACGCTCGAGGCTGTGCAACAGTGGCTCTCTAGGCGACACTAATGAGAACTGTACTGTTTTCTCGGCAAAGGAAATCGAGACAGTGGTAACGCTACCTTAAAACGTAATAGGGCTTGTCGGAACATGCGCCGCAGTGCAGATCTTGGTATGCCTGTGTGAGCGGACCAGCGTTATGTTCCTCAAATAACGTTTTCCAGCTTTAAAGAAAACAACCTACAAGGTTTTAGTTTTGTTAGCTTTAGCTGAGCTTGGGTTTGGCTTGGGTTTTGCGAACCAGACTTCATAGGGAGCCTCAGAATGGACTGCAATGCCTTGCCAGGAAACATCTTACTTGAACAAGCCAAGTCTCTCACAGATAAATCTTGTTAATGCAAACTGTCTTAATTCAAACTTGCAGATAATTCAGACTAACATGCAGGCCCCATCCTATGCGTCTTTTTGGGGATAATTCAAACTTTGCTTTATTGGCACAAATTTTGAGTCCTCCTCGAGTTTGAAATAATGAGATTGGACTGTAGTGAAATCTCTGCTGCAAATCAGAGACTCTCATAAAGGTTATCATATTGGACGGACGATATGTCCGTGCACTAGACACGTGTGAAAGTTTGTATTCTATATTGTTCGGACCCTTCACAGATGCATACTAGTTTTTGAAATGACTTGTTTTTCAACATTATTCGGTATCGCACAGCACGCCTAGTGTGGTTGTCAAACTGCGTAGCCACATAGGAGATTGATAATATATAGAAGAGTGTTAGGATGCAAAGATTTGCAGAAATTCTTAGAGAGATTCTGGCACAACTTAAAGCAAAAGTAACTTGAAAAAATGCCTAGTTTAGGTTTGCAAATCATGTGAAGCATGGTGCCTCATATGTGCAGAATATAAAAGGGAGCACTTGTCCTCCAGCCAGAGTTTGTCTCTGGACTACACGGCGAGTGTGGCCTCTATTTTGGAAGATACAGTACTTTTTCAAGTTTCTGCAACCAGCTCCTAACGTCATCTCGAGCTAGCATCTTCGGACATGAAATACAGTCCCCCCTTGAAAGCATAGGGGGGTGCTTGGTCCGATTGACTTTCGTGGAGTTTTCCTGCGACGGTTTTATTTCATTGGCATTGTTCTTGATGTGCTCTAAGGTTGTTTGAACGGCACTGTCTCACAGCAGAACATATCCTTTTCTAGTGACCATTGTTTGGAACCACAGCCAGAGCAGGGGACAGCTGTGGAATTCGAAGACAACACGTAAGCTTTCCTTCCCTTCACCAAGATGCTACTGCACTGCAAGTGAATTGCACTGGATAGACATACTTTTGTTAAAACAATGGGTTTTAAGTGCTACCAGATTCCTGGTAGAACAAATATTCTGTAAAAGTTATGACATCCCAGTTTTCTGATATATGTTCTTCAATACATTTTTTAACGTTCATAATTTTGCGAATTGCACAAACACATCTTTTTTTGTTGTGTTGTAGTACCTTTGGAAAACTACCAACATTGGGCTGTCAGTGCTCCTTTCAGGCCATCAGTTGACATAGCCATAGAACTATGCATCTGTCAGTGTATGATATAAAAATTAAATAGTGCAAAGGTTAGACAAAGAACAAAGGACAGAACATGTAGACAGGATAGCGCTTGTCCTGTCTACATGTTCTGTGCTTTGTCTTTTGTCTAAACTTTGCACTATTTAATTTTTATATCATGCATATTCGACTAGCCCACCTAAATACCTTAGTACAATTTCTGTTAGTGTAACTGATTTCATAGGTTGTTGCAGTTTTACAAAATGTATCTCCGATGTATACTGTTCAAAACTTTTTGTTCTTATTTTTTCTAAGTGTAGTATAGTGCCTATATTTTGTATAATGTGTTTTTACTTTATATAACCCCCCCCTCCCCCCCAATCCCTCTACAATAATGCCCTCTGGGTGATGTAGGTACCTGAATTAATAAATAAAGATCATTAAACAGCAAATAAGCAAGTGTATGATAAAATAATTTGTCTGTTCTATAACTATAATCTTTTGTAAGGAATTTTTCAGTACCTGCATATTTATTTGAGCAATATGTGTTTGTATGTATAACTCTGGAAATCAGATGCAATAGCATAATTATTATTTTGAGTTTGCTGAAAATCACAAACTGTAGAACTAGTATGCAAAACTAGGTTATCCTGACCTTAAAGGAAAACTGAAATTGTACTTTGTTAAAAGAGAGCGCTTGTATGATGCTCATTTAGACTTCACATTTGCAAATATAAATTAATTTTCAATTATACAGTCAAATGCCTTTATAACAAAGTCCGCGGGACCTGCGAAATTTTTGGTTATACACGTAACCTTGTTGTATTAGAGCATTGAAAAGTTGATCACGCAAAACTGAATTTGTGCTATCGCATATTAGCATATCGTATAGCAAAAGTTTGTGTGGCACGGGAGCACCAACTGAAAAGACTGGCTATGCCTTCTGATGGTGCGTTGTTGCTCTCAAGACACATGCTTTTTTACATGTGCTCCTTTTCACGTTCACAGTCATATTTTTTCCGCTCGCTTCTGTCCGACGCCTACGAGATAACAAATTGGCGCGGGGTGCGGTGAAATGCTATCTGTAGCATGCAAGCTTTGTTACCCATCACGGCAGTCGAGGCAGACGTGTGGCATGACGGTTGACAAAATGGCACCTTGCGCTGGTCCCAGTTATCTCGTCCGAGTCGGACGGAAGCGACTAAAAAAGACATGGCAGTGAGCACGAAAGAAAGCACATTCTCGAAGCGTGAATCTTGAGAGTGGCCGCACGTCATCAGAAGGGACAATCAGTCCCTTCGGCCGGTGCTCCCTCGTCTCCCAAACGTTTGCTGCCAACTATACGTGCGCTACATTCGAGGTGTTCGAGAAAAAAGTGCAGCACCATATATAGTATAAGCAACATCGGAAACGAGGTTTTGTACATTGACAATGGACTTATCAAAAGGGGGAACGATGGCCGAGTCTGCAAGCGCATTGCAGCTCAGAGCACAGGGTGACGAAAGCTTGCGTTGCAGATTCCAGGCATCCTAAGCTAGATGACCTCTTTATTTTCTTCTAAACGAAAATTGTACCAGCACATTTTTGTGTACTTACCACTGTGTGACACGATTTAAAGACACTGAACTAGTAGCTGTACCACCAGTACCGCCCCTGGCAAAGTTGGTCATCCACAGCCAAGACACTAGACTCTCCTTGCTGCAGACTGATCTCTTGCTGTCCAAACATCCACACAACAAACTTGACTGACTTATCAAAATATTATTCGCAACAATCACTAAACCACCGACATCGCCCCCCGATCACGCAGCGAATGAGGGGTGTTTGCCACTGACTGCGATAACTCGGCCTTTTCTAAACTGGACGGCGGCTTGCGCCGCCTCGCATCATTCGGAAGAGGCTCTCGAAGCGGCTGCATTGCTCTCATAGTAGCTGGGCGCGGCCACCGCAGCAGCTCGGGAGAATTGGCCTCACTTTCAACACACGGCAGATGCAGCGCACGGTACAACAAGGAGCGAGGACGGGGAGAGGCGCACATACGAGGCGACTGAGTCCTTTTTCACATCTGTCCACCACAAAAGGACTCCATATTTTTTGGTGTGGCTCTACCGACTTTGCTCAGATTTTGCCGTCACGGGTAGAGTCACAAGTTACTTTTCCGTCACGGGTAAAGTCACAAGTCACATTTCCTTGACCGCATATTATCGCTCCAAGGCAGAACAGTATGGGACTTGGATCCAGCAAGATTTGGAAGATTGGATCCTGACAGAGATAGGTGCAACGCCCATAAACTTTAAACGGGTGTTTTCGTAGTTTGTTATGAAGGCATTTGACTGTATGTGCAGTGTACAGTAAAACCTCGTTATAACAAAATGGAATATAACAAACTAATGGATATAACAAAGCAATCATAATTCCCCTTGCTTGCTAATAGTGGGAAGAAATGGACAATGGCTATAACAAAATAATGGTTATAACGAAATAATTACGACCGCTCCTTCAACTTTGTTATAGCGAGGTTTTACTGTAGCTGTAAAAGCACTTTCAAAAAAGTGCTGAAGCTTCTCCTTCCATGTGCTCTCATGCGACGAGGAAATCTGAGAGCAAGGAGGGATGTCTACAAAGAAGTTCTCACCATCCTTATGCCTTCCCTTAGCATTCAGCAATCCTTTTATGGTGTACCTTTTGCCTCTGTTGTTCACTTCCCTGTTTGTTAGAGTAGCTGGTTCGTCTTTGCGTTTGCATCCGCATAGTTTGTTTGCCTGCATGGGAATGTTTTGAAACCTCAATTAATTTCCATTCTGGCAGCTCGACAATGACATCCCCGACTGTCGCAAGGTGCACGGCGTTTGAGCACCTTAAGTGTCGGTCTGTGCTGCACACACGCACTTTTTAGTTCTATAGAAATGCCACAGAATGCTGTCCTGCACTATGTATGGGGGCTGACTGAAAAGTAATGGAACTGCTTCTGTTTTTCTTTGCAAGGTGGTAGACGGGCAATATTGCGCCGACGCTTGTGTAGGTAATACCTCCATATGTCTAAGCACCTGCAGTTTGACCATCACAGTCTTTAGCATTCTGTCGCAGCAACGGGCGAAGTCGCCTCATGTGGATTATCATGGCGGAAGACAATGACGTGCTTGTGAGAGTATGGCGGAGGTGCACGATCGAATTTTGCATTTACCTTTAAAGAATGGCAACTTCACCGTGAAACTCTTTATATAGCCCAGGCTTGTTGCACTGTGAATTCTGAGCATTTTTGGTGCTGAATGAAAGAAAAGAAAAAATTCTGAGGACATCTAAGCACTTCTTACGAGTTGTCAATGCGAAAGCATGAATGTCGTTCTTCGCGCCGCAATCGCTTCTGAACCTCCCGACGCGGTGGCAGTTTCTGCCCTTATTGGCGGGGTCCACAGTGCCATGGTGTGTGGGGTGGCGTCCTTAGAACTATGCCGCGTGCCAGCCAATGGGAGGTTGTCCATCAATTTGCTGCTATAACTACATGCTTTGCTCCATGGGAGAGGGGAATTTAGGTGCCGTTTGGCACGGCTTCAAAAGCTGATAACGCCGGTTCGCTCCATGGAACAGTTAATGCTTTCACATTAAAGGGGCACTGACACATCAAAATCTTTTTTTATTATTATTATCCGAAACGATTGAAAACGATGCCGGGACATTACCCTCAAAATTCGAAACTTGGGAATTCAAAATTTCTGAATTAAAAAAAAACAATTTCCAAATGCCGAATTTGAAGTTCCCGCGTGATCCGCGCCAGTGCAGTGAGTCAAATGTTGCGGTCTCCTGCGACTCGACTTTCTTTGGGACCTCCGTTGCCACCGCGGCCCGAAGCGAGGAGGAGGTGACCAGGCGGGATAGAAGGGCGCCGGCACGGGAAAAAACCGGTTTCTTCCCCGACTCGCCGATAAGCCTCTGCTCGAGCGCCGCCAAGTTTTCTGCGGGAGGATACAAATCCAGGAAGCGACATGAAACCGAAATCTGATTTTTGGTATTTCAAAAAGAGGGGTCGTTGTACGTTCGCAGTTGCGTTAAAAAACATGTTGTACGATTGCCGTTATTAAATGTTATAGAAATGTCGCCTACAAAGCTTGTAAATTTCCTGATTTTTGACATCACCGACCAAAAGAAGCAAGGTGGTGAGCACGGGAAATATAAACGCCAAAAATAAAAAAGTGCACGCGCGTAAAAAAAAAATTTTTCGCGATGCGTTTTTTTTTTGCGTGTTTATGTCTATAACTTGCATCGTTTTAGACAATAAAAAATAATACGACCTTTGGGGTGTCAGTGCCTCTTTAAAGAACTGCTCAGAAGGAAGTTCTCTTCATACGACGGAGTGGATGAAGTCGCAGCTGCAATGCCGAGAATCATGTCACAAAACATTCTCTTATATTCTTGGAATTGTTTTTGAAACATTCTAAATAATGTATTGAATGTAAAAAATGCTATCTTAAAAAGAAAAAGAAAAATTATCAGAGCGTGCAGAGTCATTGAATTCAGCGTAAAAAAAATCGCTCTCATTATTTTTCAATTGACTCTCGTATACAGCTGAACCTGGATATATCCAATTCAAAGGGGATCGTAAAGTAGTTTGATATATCAATAATTTGATATACAGAAATATGTTAACTAAAGCTCGAGTTGAAATTTCCTGTCATCTGCTAATACCGAAGGTCGTTACAAACGGGAGCTTACCAGATAGAGCATCCAAGTGCCGCTAAATACAGTAGAGCGTAGTTGGCAGAGACTGCAAACAACGTTCCGCTTATACGCGCATTTGGCCGGGACCTCCACACAGCATAAACGACAAAACACAAAAATAAAAAAAATGAAAAAAAACGAAAAAGCGAGACGCATAAAAAAAAAATGTAAATAAAGTTAAGTAAGCAACAAAAAAAGAAAGCTCACTAAATTCAAGCAACAAAAAAAGAAAGGCAAAAAAAAAAAAAAAGGGGCACAGCAATAACGGCAAAACAAAAAGGCAAACAAAGATAAGGCATTCGAAGTGCAACTGCACGACCGTTGTTGTCAACACACTCGGCTTGCCGAAGACTTTTTTTCTCATTTTAATTTGGGGCTATGGAGTCGCACAGCATCAGCAGTGTTCAGGGAAAGGGCGCAGGCTACCCGTTCTGACAGCAGGCACTCCCTACTCTTCCTACGCGTGCGGGCGTACCCTTCCCTTTGCTTTTGCTATCCTCCACTGTTTTTCTTTTACTGTTCATTGTTTCTCTCTTTCCACAACTGCTCTTTTGCCGCCTATCTTACTGCGTGTATGCTGGCTTGGTGGTCTGCCAGTCCCGCTATGCAAGCAATGTGCCCACCACCGCCACAATCGAATCGCGGGAAAAGCAACGGGCGGCCGGGTTTCGTTCGCTATATCGAGTGTCCCCGCAATGGGAGTTCGAAAGGACAATGCTCTATAGTAATACATGTGTTTTTCAAGAGGATGTTTATACTGTTTGATATAAACAATAATTCTAAATACCTGAATGTGATATAACCGGGCTCGACTGTATGCAGTTGCAAGCATGGCGTCCCAATTGATGCCCCATGCATGCAAGCACATGCAGTGCGTACGCGAATGTAACTTTGTAAGGCACGTAGTGACAGGCGGTGGTAAATGTTTTGGATTTGACATTTCAGCCAACGGCGAGATGCAGCACTGTCTGGCGGTTAGATGCGGATTCCCAGGTTGAAAATACCTCTCCCGCCTTCCGGAGTAATTCAATGTGACTGAAGTAGCAAGTCGCTTTAATCCCATTGTTGGCCGCTCGATGGTTGCCAGTGACGTCGCACAACTTAACTTTTCGCTTTGTTTACTTGCAAATAAAATCTACCTTATATCTCCTCATAGGCTACAGATTTCAAGAAAAGTTTTGCTTTGTGTGTGTTATTATGTTTGTAGATTGTGGGTGGTTCCCCAGACGGTTTCCCCAAACTCGCAAATTTCCTCAGCCATCTCTGTCCCTGTGTAATATTATTTTCTTGTGTGTGTTTAGGCACTAGTAATTTAAAAGATTTGAGCCACCCATTGCATGACAATGACCCAATTACCCCCTAGTTTATGTTAAATATACTTTAGAGGACCTGTACGTTTCTGTGCTGTGTTATGATATCAATAGACCCTGTCCGCCACTGCTTGCTTCCATACTCTAAGTATGTATTGAACTGCGCTGACGCAGGCGAGGACTCGCTAAGTCTTCGCATGCGTCAGCGCTCGGATCTGATCACACACTTCGTGAGCAAGCAATGGAGACCGCCAATGTTGCATGATCGACTTTTAAAAAAGAGTCTATTCTGAGACCAGAAAAGGTTCTCTAGCTGTCAATCAAAAGAGGGAGGTTGTCCATTTATTTAGTTATTTATATTTATTTACCCATGCTCTAGAGACATGCAGTTTCTGCACGCATCTGGAGGCAGCCGAGTAATGTCTGCAGAATCCCCTCGAACGTAGTTCTTTGGTAATCTAACGAAGCTCGCCGGTTCTCAAGTCGGACCCGACCGTTTCCCTCTCTTCAGGTCGAGAGACCCGTACGACGAAACAATGAGGTTTTGCGTCCAGAGCCTGAAGGCGCTGCAGGAGAAGCATGTGGGACGGGAGACGCACACGCACGACAGCGTCCACCTCCACTGCATGCTGCTCGCCTCTCAGATTCGGACATTGACGCCGGAGGAGCAGATCGACGCGCTCCACGAGATCGACCAGGTCGTGTACGGCTACCAGAAGCGTGCAATGCAGAACGGGGCTTCCAGCGACCACACCTATTCATGAGCTAGGGTTTGAACCGGGTCGTTTATAGTCTGTTGCAAGATGAAAGCAGGGCAAGCTGCTCTTTCTCTGCTCCTGGCGACCAGAGAGGTTTTTTCGGAGGAGCTCATCCCATGTTTCTTTGACTATACTATATATTAATCTTGACCTCTTTCTCGGTTTCTTTATGTTCGTTGCTCGAGCAAAGCCATATGCAGTGTACAGGTCATTTCATACCATCTATTTATGTATTTTTTTAGTAATCTGAGGGATGAATGTGTGTAATATACAAATGGCATCTACTCTGTTCGATCTTTCTTAGGTCGTAAAGGGCCCGTTTTCTGCGAATGTTCGACGCCGTCTGTCGGCGGATCAGGAAGCGTCTTTGTAGACCTTCTAAAATTCTTTAACCGGCCATTGCGCCTGCACCGCTCTTTCAAACAAGGGTAGGAAAAAATTACTGCGTGGTGCGATTGCAACACTGGGCTGTCCGAGGCTCCGCTTTGTTGCTGACTGTCAATGACGTCCTATAAGTGCCGCCAAAAATGGCAGACAGCCACGTCTGCTAATACTACTACGCATGCACATGGTGCAACCCTGGAAAAGGCCCGTTGTACCGGTCCGAATCTTTTGTCTGGTAACAATTTCTATTTCAGTCAATTTTTCTTTTATTTAGCTACCTGAGAATGTTGTAGCGAGCTTGAAAGGAAAACTTGGTTCTCCGATCTTTGAGGCAGGCGTGCTGGCGAGGCACGTTACTTCCGAGCTCCCTTCAAAGTTGTCGGCCGGTATGTTCGCATATTGTGAATGTTCCCGGTATTAATTTTTCTTTGAGTGTGTGTAGTGTTATTTGAAGAGGCAATAAAACTTTGATGCCACTAGAAATTTCTCTAACCAAGTTTGTGTCTCGTCTTTATGTTAGTGCACTTGGCACACCTGTTACCAGCTCCCACAGTGTCCCTTAAAAATATTTAGGGTTATTTTTTCACCGCAAAAATATGTATCGCTGAACTTTGCCCAAGTCTCTGCTCAGTTGTTGCGCTAGCAGTTCGAACCTGACGCCAAAATTTCAGAACTAACCGCCGTCTTATTTGAAAGTGATGAGCGGTTTTATGGAAATTTCAATGGGAAAAGTGGGGCCCATTCTCAAAACTGGTGTTAATCGGCTCCGTGCATTCAAGGGGTCGGTCAGAAAGTTGCATGACTTTTAAATAAGATAACTGTTGGTTGTGAAACTTTGGAATCTAGTTCAGACCCCTTGCGCTACATTTGAGCAGGGAATGAGTGCTCGGCAACGCATAGTTTCTTTTTACGCTGAAAAAAAGACAAACTTTTTGAAGGACCCACTGTACACTGTGTGATGCAGTTGTTCCAAACACGACATCTCTTTTTTTCTGCGTTTTGAACAGACTGAGCATTCACTGGCACTAAAGGGTCACTAAAGTGCTCCTTGAGATCCTCGTTTTATTGTCCTAACTCAATCTACGAGCTCTAAGCATCATAAAAAATTTGAAATTACATTTATGTGTGGCCGATTTGCATATTAAAAATGTGATAAAAGATCTTGACACCTACCGTTGGCTCAGAACGACAGACGGTGCTACCGAACCATCTGTCTGAATCAACCGTCGTTCGACCATCTGAATATGGTCGAACGACGGTTGGTGCTCGTCGGCCACTCGCGAACAATGGGTACGTGTGTGGACGGGCAGCCGACCAGTTCAACTCGTCCACGTAAGAACCCATTGCTCGCTAGTGGCTTACAAGACCTCCGTTGTTCTACCATACTCAGCAAAGTTCGGTGGCGCCATCAGTCGTTTTCCATCAACGGTAAATGTCGGCGGTTTTTTATCACTTTTTTAATATGCAAATCAACTGCGCACAAATGTAATTTCGGGTTTTGTTAGGATGCTTAGAGCTCGTTGATTGAGTTATGACCTTAAAACGAGGATCTCAAAATGTACTTTAGTGCCCTTTTGAGCTTTGCCACTTTGGTCACGGCCCTGAATGAGGACTTTCCTTCAGCACCCCCCCCCCAACTCCCCTTCCCCGAAATCCAGCCAACACTATAAAATAGGTACACATGCATCCTCACCCCCTCCCCGACTCCGCACCTCAATTCATGGACATCCCAGCCGCCTCAGCCCCCGAAAAACTTCCTGGCCACGCTGCTGGTCACGTCGTATGATTTACAAGAAAAAGAAAGGCTTCTGCATAGGGCAAGCCCAGTAGTGTCAGTAGGAACAGACGATTCTATTGATATCAACAGGGTTCAAGATTGTCTAAATTGATTAAAATCTAGGCAAGAACAAGCTCATATTTTCTTTCGAGTGACTATGACGCTAGATTTTGTTGCCTCCATTGAGTTACGGTGACCTGCTAGATTAAAATCCCAAAACATTGAGCTTTTTTTACAGCGAAGCTGTTAAGGGCTAGTTCCCCCAGGATCGTGTCCGGTACCAAACAAATGTCGACACCTGTGGTCGATACAACACTCTGGTTGCCGCTCTCGCTCACAGATGGCGGTAGCTGTCCACAGTGTTGTGTTTGCCGGTCGTCTGCTTGCCGCCGTCGCTCAGAGATTGCGGCAACCTTTCCAGCCTCAGCAACCAGACAACTGTTTGCTGCCGTCGCTCATAGATGGCAGCAACATTTCTTCGAAGGAAGAAGAGCAGGAACGGAACGAGCAGCGATGTGCGCAGCAACGCGAATGGTTCCTTCTGCAACCGCCGCGAGGCCGCTATCGCCTAAAGTTCCACTGCGTCGTGCGCTTAGATACCCTTGCGAAACAAGAGCAGATCGCTCGCCTGGAAAGCCACCGCCGAGAACAGAACTAACAGCTTTGCTGCTCTTCCTTCACCAAAGTAAAAAAGCTGAAATTTTTTTTCCTTTTTTTTTAGTTAGTTTGAAGATTGCTTCTTCTTTCCCCTTTCTGCTGGTGCCTTTGCTTTAGTTTTCTGTCAAGAAATTCTCAAACCAAGTCTCCAACAGGGCATTTTAATAACCCTGTCTGACAAGGGGAAGCAGTTCTTCCTAGAGATCAGAGCCGAAACCAGATGAAATAAGGTGAAACCATCTAGGTTAATTAAAAGAGTGTGTGTGCCGAGGTGCACAGGCGAGCTGGTGATAGTTAAAGGGACAGTGCATTCCAGACCATTCTGAGGCTCTCTAGGAAGTCTGGTTTTCGAAACCCAAGCCAAACCCCAGCTCAGCTAAAGCCGATAAAACCTTGTGCTGCTTTTTTTTCGCCTTGCCCCAACGTTGTAAACGTCGTCCGAGGGATGCAACGCTGGTCTGCTCGAACAAGCGGACCGAGATCTGCACTGCGGCGCATGTTCCAGCAAGCCCTTTTCTGTCTTAAAGGGACGCTGACAAGGTATTTATCATCACCAAGATATTTATTCGTACATGACATATGAGAGCCCAACTACCCAGAAAACAATTTGTGGCTCGAAATTCCACCCGAAAACCGCTGGTCGAGCACCGGCCGGTTTAGTCGTGCTCACTCTCTTCTCCGTAGTCACGTGCCGATTTCTGTGATTTAGGCAGAACCACCAAATATAATCAGTCGGAGGTCATCGAAGGGAGACACTGAATAATAAAAATATTAAAAAAATGTATATGATACCCATTTTTTGTGGCCTCTAAAAGCTCCAAATACGTTGACTGGGGAAAAAAAATATCACAGCCACGCGACCTCCGCCACCTCTCTCTATTTCTTCCATTTCTTTTTTCTGCCCAGTCCTGTATCGGTTTCGATCAGTTATGTTTCTTGACTTTATTAAAAATGCACATGACACTGTAGCAAAATGATTGGGTAGTCTTCTGACACCGTAATGAATCGCCTGGCAAATAATGAAAGCTAAATTTTGGGGGGTGTCATTGTCCCAGATGAAACACTGCACACATGATGTTTAAAACCCGGGATTTTGAGGGGAAAAAATCGGAAACTTTGAAGTCGAAGAAAAAGGCACTGTAAAGACGTCTTCCCCTGTGTTTTTTTTTCTTCGACTTCAGAATTTCCTATTTTTTCCCTCACCACAGTCTCGCGTTTTAAACATCATGACCTCTAGATAGGCTTTACAATAAATGGGGAGGGGGTTAGCATGAGTATTTTGAAACCAAAACCAGATTGGCTGTGGGGGCTGTGGAGCCCGTGGAGCCGGCATGTTTTCGTCATGTTGAGCCAAAGGAATCCAATCCAAGTAAGCTTTCTCAAAACACTCGGGCGCGGATCGTTGGCGTTGTAAACAACGTGTAGCGAAATGTGCCAAACCAAACCCGAGTTTGATATGCACGAGTTTCTCGACATGGTCGAAACGTCTCCTTTCCTGTACGACAAGCGTCACGAAAACTTTAAAGACAGAAATCTGAAGCGAAAGATTTGGAACGAAGTTGGAGAGCACTTCGGCTTCGAAGGTGAGTTGGGATCAGTCCGAGCGAAATACTTCTCGATCTCTGCTTTATATCAAGTAATTTCTCTTGTTTTCTTTTTTTTAATTATCTAGGACCTCATGGTTCGGGAGAAGTCGCTAAAACTAAGTTTAGGAACGCCAGGGACAAGTACACCAAAATCAAGACTGAAATTCGGACTGCCAAACGACTAAATGTCAACGGTGTTGTCAAAGTGCCGTGGCCTTACTTCAAGAAGCTGCAGACGATGGTAGATCCTGGATTTTCGTGGAAAATGTAAGGCTCTACTTGTCACTACTGGGTTACTGGACAAATGTAAAAATGAACCATCCAACCCTGCCCTCGGTCGTAACCACGCTAGGCTCCTCATTATAGTTCTGATATTCGATAACGGTAACCGAAAACGATACGATGCATGCGCAAAGGCTTCTGTGAACTATCAGGTATCATTTTCGGAGTAATCGGAACGACCTACTAAGACTTCCCATGCGGACCGCAAGTTCGTCTGCTTCTCGCGCAGGAGTTGCAGTGACGTCATAATCGCCGAGCTCTGATTGGGTCTCATTGGAAGGATAGTGGGTAGACATCAATACTAGCTGCCTTGATGTCTACCCACTATCCTTCCAATCAGAGCCAATCGGAGCTCGGCGTTCCGAAGTCACCGCAACCCCTGCGCTAGAAGCAGACGAGCTTGAGTTCCGCTTTGGGGCAGTTATAGTTTTGCGAAGTAGCAAACTATCTTTTTAGCAGGTTGACCTCTTCGTGATTGTAAATAAACTACTATTCTCTCTCACTGAAGTTTACTGGTTATAAAATTGATGCACTCAGAGTTTTAAAGGAAGATTGATTCCTTATTTATGAACAGTTTGCATGGCATATTTGTTTGCACACTTGAATTTTTGATGTTTACATCCCACAACCTAAAAGCCACTTTTTGTGTGAAGCCGTGATTCTGCCAGGTTCATCGGACTGCCCCCTTATGGTCGTTGACAGGTTACAAAAAGCCAGTAGGATGAGCTTTTTGCCTTTGGTAAACACTTATTGCATGTGCAGTGAAAGCCTGGTGGAATGCAAAAAGCACATGCTGGAGATGAAGCATCTATTACTCGGTTCTTAATTAACCTGTCACCGGCTATGGTCAAGATATTTTTCTGTAGCTCATAATTTTGCGACTTGCCGAACTGCTTGCGATTTGTGTCTTCCGTGACCAACATGCACACATGTTAGTCATGGAAACTAGTTCAACCTTGTCAATAGGTGTGTTGAATTGATTTTGAGGGAAATCGACGACCATCAAAGTTACGCTAGAGCTCTCGTTTAAGGTTATTAAGTTTACCATCATTACTTGCTTTGTTTGTGTGCATTCTAACTGCGTGCCTCAATGGTATTCCAGAACTCAGAAAAATTCTGCTGTCGCCTCCATTGTTCAAGCTAAGCCGCCGACTTCACCTCATGTTGTGTGAGTGTACATTGTTCTCACATTGTAGCTAAAGTGCATTTATTTCAAATACCCTTAGGGCCAGTAACATTACAGAGGCGAGTGGGTGTTAGTGAGGTGATTAGTTGTAGTATCCGAAACAAGGTGCCGTCGGTGATGGTGACAATATTCTTCGGGAGGTCGTCCCAGCCCACAGTGGCATCAGGAAGAGCAGAAGAGAGGTAGGCCGTTGAGCTGCATTTGGGCCGGGCTATTTTGCAGGATTGATAAAACCTTGGAGAAACATAACTAGATGGGTGAAGAAGGGGATGATATAAGGTTGTGTGGTAATAAATTTTGTGCAGAAGACAAAGGCGAGAAATGTTACAACGAGCAGAAAGATTGTGAATGTTTCAGCTTTCATGGCAGACGCACTGGAAAAACGTGAGTAATTAGGCGGGATTTAACAAATGGCTCTGGACTGATCCAATTAGGTTTGCTAATGGGAATTGCCGAAGGCCCCAAATCGAAGCCCATATAGTCTAAATTTGCACGGACAAGGGCAACATAGAGAAGACGTTTAAGGACGGGAGATGCAGACTTAAAGGTGCGGCGCAGATATCCTAACTGCGGTTTGCTGAAGCAATGATAGTATTAATAATTCGAGTATGCCAGGAGAGATCAGAAGTAACGTGGATTCCTAGATATTTTTACTCATTAGCATTGATTATTTTTTGTTATACATTTCCGAGTTTTTTTAATCCTTTAGGATTTTGAGTCCTGCATTTTACAGCGATAGCTGTTCTGGGCTCTTCCCACCACTGGAAATGACGGTCGTTGTTGATGTTGTAGTTGACATAGTAGGGCGTAGCGCGTTCGTTGTCAATGTTGCCAAGCTCTGGAAAACAATTGCCCGCCGCTTGCGAAGGTCGAACCTGGGTCTGCTGTGTGCGAAGCGGAGGCTTTGCCGCAGAGCTACGCCATGGCGTTAATAACCCTCTCTATACTTGGGGTTTTCATAGTAACCGATACCCACTGCCTGTGCTCTCTGAAAAAATACAAAGAAATGCCCGATAGCAAAACGACGTCGAAGCACCGTCAATGCCAAGAGCTCTTGCCGGAAGATGCACTTTCACGCGCTCTGGAACAAAAAAAGAAAAACAAAAACTTTTGGAACAAAGTGGTCAGATGTCTGTTATGTTCCAAATGCCTTTGTTTATGCACCCCACGGTGCATGAATGCGACACCCAACAACTTCTCCGTGAGGTGTCGCCGCGACTACTGCAAATTAACGCAGTACTGCTCAATTTTTTTTTCCCTTTATATTGGGGTAAGCAACAAGCACTGTTTGAACCTCTATGCTGAATGTATTTGAGGCAATATGAATGTCATATTTTCCAGTTTGTCCGTTGCACCGTTGTACAAGTCGCACTCCCATTTACAGGGCCGTTTTCACGAAAACGTTGATGTGGAAATTGCACCTTTGCTGAGTTCCTTATAGTCACAGTGCACCGCGACAGATGGTGCACAGAGTCAGTGCGGTCATGGACCTTTGCTGCTACGCTTTGAACCTTCTTCAGATCGCCGGAAGAACCATTAGTCGGTGCCCTGCAGCTCCTTCTTCATCGTAAATGGCGGCATAAAACCGCGATTTTAAATGCCAGAAAGTATGGTAGTTGTGATTCAATATCTGAAAGCACTTTCTGCCTCACCATTGAATTATATCCTTCACAGTCCCTGAAACGGCTAAAGATGTTTGCAAGACGAAACACTCATTCAAACGGGGTTGCGTGTACATTGAATGGCATACAGTGATACAACAAACTTTTCGTTTATTCTGTCGGTGTATGTTCACAGAGTCTCGAAATGCTTCGTGTTTGAGACATTATTTTAACGTGTCTTTTTAGGGTCCTGTAAGGATTTGTTTGTTTAATATGCAAGCAGGATGCGGGAGAGAATACTTCATTTTTAAATGCAGTGGGATGGTTGAGTTTCGCATGTTCGGATCTTACGTCATGCTTAAATTCTGTTGGTGCTCTATACGGACAATATTATGGCCATTCTTCGCTTAATTTTTTCTCGATGACACTCGTTTCAGTGTTCTGAAAAACGATGGCGTCACCTGCAACACCCCCACCTTGAGGTCCTCACGTGTGCCCGCCCCTGCCAAACCTGAACCCAGTACAGATTCGTAAGTCTCGTCACAATCCCTAGATGTCTCTAGCATTGACATTTTTGTCCCAAGGAAGAGCTCTCTCTAGGTGGTAGAGTTTTCCCTAGGACAAAGTCTCTCTGGGGCCAAAAGTTCTCACTATAGGGGGTGCTTTGAAAAACGCGCATAGCGCCGCTAGCGGAGGAGCTGGCGTTCGACAGTGAGGCGTGTTCAGCAGCCTGCAGCGCCTTTTTGCATGCAAAGCTGTGGCGGGGGAAGCGCGCACGGACAAAACTTTTGCTTTTTGAGCCGATACGTTGAGGGTGACGTTGCGTGAGTGCTGGGGCAGACCTAAGAGGGGCATCTAGCTGTTTTCCACTTCTTATATATTGAGTTTGAGTCGTTATTAGGGGTAAATTCTCTAGTTGCAATTGAAAAAGGGGTTGGAGCAATTTTCCGAAAAGCAAGACGGCCGCCACCATAATTGCTTTGAGTGGGAAATTTGTTTCGCTCGTCGCTGTAAACGGGACTGCTGGAACGATGATATTTGGAGGCGAGTGAGATGTTCACTAAGTTTGTGCACGAAGTGTGCCAAGTTTCATTAAGACAGCAGGTGTGAAAGTTATGTTTCTAACGAATAAAGAAATAAAGCTGTACGGGGTATCCACTATTGGACCCAAAATGTTGTGTTATAACTGGGCTGTGCGAAGTGCAGATTTGGGCACACAGGTGCTTGGACTTGACAGTTACATGATACAGCACTTATTATACCAAAAAGAGGTGGCATAGGGAAACCAGATGGAAATTTGGTTTGGGCGGCGTAACTCAATGGTAACCGGTTTTGACCATGAAAGGGTCAAGAGAAAACCACTCGTCATGGGAGGTGGAGACTTTACAGGTAGGAAGGGACTGGTGAACTGTACTCTCTATTGAAACAACTTTACGAAAGGTGGTTCCAAAGCCGAGAAAACAAAGTTGTCGTCCAACACACGGTTTGGCCGTCAAAGGCTTTTGCGGTCAGCTGTTGTGTAATAACCTGTTGCGCGAGGTGCTGATTTTCAGCACACAGGCACTTTGACATGACCGTAACTTGACACAACACTTATTATACCAAAAAGAGGTTGCATAGCGAAACCAAGTGGAAATATAGTTTGGGCGGCGTAACTAGATGGGAACCAGTTTTGACCGTCAAAGGCTGTCAAGATAATACCACTCATCGTGGAAGGTGCACACTTTATAGGTAGGAAGGGACCAGTGGACGGTACTTCCAGTTCAAACAACTTTGTGATAGGTGGCTGTAAAGCCGAAAAAAAAATTGTTGTCTACAGAACTCGGGGTGTCAGCGTTTCCACATCCAAAAGGAGGCTGATCAAAAAAGAAAGCACACCACATAAGCTTCCATACTCAGTCGTCGATTCTCCAGTGATTCCGAGTTTCATTGTAGTTTTCCTTAGATTCATGTTCACTTTTTTTTTTACCGTTTGAATCTTTCTACATGAAGTACAGATTGCGTGCCATACTAGTCCTACTAGTCCGGAAATATCATCGACACGAACGATGGGGACGAAACTTCTTTGGAGGGCATTCCTCCAACGAAATTGGCACTGCATACCCGTGTGTGTGGAATAGCATTTCAGTTCGTCCCATCGGCGCTAACACATGTAGGCGTCACTGGTACGAAAACACACGCAGAGCGCAAAGCGGCAGTGTAGAATATGTCAGCCGTGCCGACACAGTGGCAGATAAAATCGTGAGACTAAATTTCTCGCGTAGTACGGCACGGGTTCATCGTTGTCGCTGCCCCACAAAACATCGGCGAGGTGAAAAACTGTGAAACTGTCCCCACGAGATACGACGCATAACTATTGAAGTACTTAACGACGGAGCATTGGCAGCACTTCATGCTGTGAACCCAGCGCAGCCGCACCGCTCCAACTTCAATGCATACCAACATACGTGGCGTGGTATCGGTTTCGTTTTCTCTGGAATTCTCACTGCCTACCTTCGATAACGGCCGCGCGGTGGTGCGCCAGTCACGTCTCACGGAGTGTTTACCCTGTTGCAGATTATGAAAAGTAGGTTAAGCTCCTCCCTCAAAGCCCCCAACTCTTTCCACTTTAGTGAGCAATTGTTGGAAAGGGGTGCGAGTGGGCTTGCCTCCCCTTTCGCCGGCTTTCCAGCATTTGCTCTGATGAAGTCAAAACAGTGGAGAGCTTTGCGGGAAAAGCTTGTACTGGCTTTTCGTAACCTGTCACTGGGTATAGGAGAACTCTCTTTAAGGAGAGCTCTCTCTCCAGGGACAAATGTTTTTGCTAGCAAGAGTTCTCTAGGGGAAAATAATGTTCCTAGAAAAATTATTTTCCCCTAGAGACTCTCTGGATCGAAAATTTTCTCTGGGGAGAGTTCCAGACTGTCAACTTCAGTCAGGCAAGGAGATGTAGACAACTCATCACAGCAGTCATGACAGCACTCATGTGACTGCAGTGCTTGCTTTTTTAAACATTCCTATAAAACGTCAATCAGTGCTATTTTTATTTTTTTGCAAGGTTTTTTTCTTGTTTCTTTTACATTGTTACTTAGTCTGGTTGAGGTTTAATGACAATGCGATGCCAAAGGGAGTTTGCTCTGCTGCTTTTGTAGCCACACAGTGGAACAGTGCAGTAGTCAATCTGTCAGCTCCCTTCCAGATGTGGAGGCAAACATTCTTCCGAGGACGATGTTTGCATACAGACCATCACTGTCCACCCATAATTAGTATTTGTAGAAATTTACTTCTTGTGCTGCTGACAGGAGGAATAGCCGACAAGCGGCTCGATTGTGCTATTTATCAGCTCGAGCGCCGTGAACGGATGAGCCATCAACCCATGGGTGAGGACAAAGTCGTCTGTAGCCATTTTTGTTCGTACCCTCTATCCTGTTTCTTACACCGTGATCGCCCGATACAAAGGGTTAAGCCTCCACAATCCAATCCAATCCAGAGGTCTGCTATCCACCCATGAGTGTGGAAGAAGTTGTCCACTGCCAGGACACTTGTCGTAAAAGTCTAGCAGACGAATACCAACAATGAAACCTTTCTATATCTGGAACAATCACAGCCATAGCTTCTTTGCGCAATTGCCTTAGCCGCTAACACATAATTAAAATCAAATTCAGGTCCATTCTAGCAACTGCAATGCTAGAAGCATACTAGATAGCTCTTGAAGAGGTTGGCTTACCTACCTTTTACTTCATTTGGCTCAAATAAGCGCCACAGTGACACAAAATGTTTTTTAAGTGTACATGCAAAGTATGGAGAAAACATAGTTTTTGATTTTTCGTGATTTACTGAGGTGAGCCAGTCTTTTCACAATTTTAGCAAATGCTTCTATACTTGTTTGGGCACCTCTGTAGTAAATCCTAGCATGATACATTAAGAAACCAAATTATGTTGTCCCTTCAAACATCCATTGATCCTTTTTCACTCATGCGGTATTATGGAAAATGTGGTGAAACGTTATGAAGTTTGTTTTCTCCCAGTCATCTAGAAACAAAAGTGTTCTTGAGTGACTGAAAAACTGCAGCCTTTGGAAAAAAGTTACCCTGCTACTATATTATGCTCCTAAATGTTTTCCTTGCATTGTTTAAATCTGCTGACTAGGCGTGTGAATTGTTTTACAGAAATCCAGAGGATTCTGCCGTCCTTGATGCTGGTGAGCCTACTTCACCCCATGCTGTGTGAGTGTGCCTTTCTCTTATAATTACTTAAAGGGCAACTCCGCTCAATTCCGAAGATTTCGGGATAATGAGTGATTTCGAATTAAAAAGCCCTAGTAAAAGACACTACGTCATTTGCTTCGCGAAAAATCGGATATATATCTTTAAATCTAATTTTAAACACGAGCGGAAATCGAAACCGAAACTTCGGCTCCGTCCGGCAACATTGGCCTCGGGCCGCCAAGTACATGGCCATCACGTGGTACAAGATGTCACGTGATCCTCGGCCCAACGACGGGCGAGATGGGGGCGGCGGGCGTGCGGCAGGCGCGAGTGTCCTCTGCACCGCACTCTTCGCCACGTTTTGGTGTCTACGGCATTCGACGACGTCTGCACAACTGCGGCATAAGTCTGCGACTCTGCACACGTGGTGTCCATAGTGTGGACGAAACTCCGAGAGGCAATAATCACAAACGGTGAGACGACGACGGTGGTTGTGACGCGGAAGATGGCGGTAACGGCGGGACCACGGCGGGCGGTTGGTCTGCTCCCAAGAAGCGCACTGCGCAGGCGCGTATGCCAATCCTGTGGACACCGCTGAGCGCCGAGAGGCAATGTTGCTGACGTCATGCGCTACGCTCGATCGGAGAAGTAAAAACAAGCAAAAGGGGGCCATGATGATGACGTTTAGCTCAATGTTGGCTCCGCCCATGCCGTAGCCTTGACTGCGCTGTTGGTTGCGCCTGAATTCGCCCGCTCGAGTCAGCCGATTTCGGCAACTTGGCGAGTTGCAAAGTTTTCCGGTCCGTTTAAGAAACATTTAGACAGAACTGCGTTGTAATATCTGACGTGTGGTCTTCCTAGGCGATACTGAAGAGGAGTGCATTGTTTTTTCAAAACCAAAAATGAAGCGGAGTTGTCCTTTAAGGGGAGACACTACCCAAGAGGATCAACTTTTTAACCTATGGCTTCATATGAATGAAGTTTACAGTATACTGGCAGTTGCAAGGTAGAATGCAGTGCAAAGTTTCATCTGCATACATAAATTGTAAAAGTTCCAATTAGGGTTCAGCAAACCCTAATTGCTGAACCCAGAACAATTAGGGTTCAGCATTTCAAAGCACTTGAACATCTTGCGTTTTCGCATTATTAAGCTTCATTTAGGGACGGTTAAAAGCAGGAAAGACAAAATGCCGGTAATGTGTGTAAGCATGAGTACGTACACACACTGAATGTCACAGCTTGCAGGAATGTGCACTTTATTCTTTCACCACGCATTTACACATTCGAGGATTGTTGCGTGTTGGAAACAGTTGACACACCTGTTCACATGCACAGAAAAGATTTTCTAATGAGCACGCTGCAGTGGAAAGACAAGAAAAAAATATTCGTCACACTCTCACTCTTTACAATAAGAAACGCCGTTAAAGTGGGTGTACCTTGTTTGTGATCGATTGCTGGTTTTATATGACATCTAGGCGCACGGGGACACTTCAGCTTTATGCATTTAGATCTTTATGCAGTCAACCTTAACATTGTTTGTTCTAAACAAACAATGCTAGGTTGCATCAGTCGGAGCTGTACACGTTCGACCCTTTTGTGACCACTTCAGGGAAAGTCATCTGCACTTCCTCTTATGAAACTTGTTTCAGAGATTTGGAAGATGGCGCCGACGTCTCCTCCGTCGCTTCCCCCGTGGCATCTCCGAACATACCCGCTCCCACCGCACTGGCACCTGCTCCCGATTCGTAAGTCTCATCGTTGTCTCTAGGTGTCTCTTGTTTGGGAACGTTTTCATCACGTCACGGGAGAACCTATTCCGGGGACAAACCGATGCACCAGAGACGTGCGTTCCTCACGCAGCGGAGACCAATCTGATGGGGTGTCGACGGCTAACACTAAAGCCGCTTTACAAGCTACACTTTAGAGCAACGTCTTGCCAGCCATCTTGTTGCTGAAAATCAGTGTTGCCAGTTATTCTAAGCTTTATCCAAAATCACGAAAAACGCCTTTTCATCCCCCCAGAAATTTTGAAGCACACCACAACAGAGCCTGACTACAAGCTTTACGTCCCCCAATTTTTTTTTTTTTTTTCATTGCAGAAGTAAATAATGCATTGCTGAACGCACCTTCTCCGCTCAAATGGAGCATCAGTGGTTCGATCCAGATGCCAAAGATTTAGGACTAAGCATTCACTCGTTCAGAAGTTAGAAAACCCTCTGAATTTTTTGGGGACACCCCGTATATTGTTTAAGCTCTCCGACACCGTAGTATCTAAAGCTCAAGAAGCTGCATATTTTTATCGGAACTAATGCCGATCGCACCCACTCTGCGCTAAACGCCGAAATCAAGGTGCTGACGAGAAACGTCTGCGATGAAGTGCCGACATTTTAGAGCATAGCTTACTCAGTGGCTCTATAGCCAAGACTACGGTGGCTAGCTGAGGTACGCTTTGAGCGGCGGCACTCCATTCCCCGACCATCTCACGGGTGACGCGTTCTTGTTGTTTGGTGCAGACCGGGCGAATTCGGCTACAGCTATGACTAAAAAATGTGACCTCCTTAGCTTTAGGTGCGAGCTTGGTTGATATTGTTGGGCTCTCTCGCAGCCTTTTTTGACTATTCTGGGGTTGCGAGAGATTTGGACCTCCCCACAGAGTGCTACGACAACCTCGCGCGTGCGTCGCTCTCGCGCTTTTCAAACTTCCTGCGAGGGCCGTGACCTTTGCAGCGTGGAGGTATATTGGACTAAATCCCCGAGACTATAGACGTTTGCAAGCAGCCTGGTTTTCAAGAGCTAGTCTGGCCACCCTGGATGGAAAACGCTTTGTTTGGGTGCCAGTCTGAAAAGCGTGGGTACACCTCAGCGATGCTTGACTATCAGATGAAATACCACACCAGCAGCAAGATGGCGGCGGCCGGAGGCCGTACTTACAAGCAGGGCCGGCCTTATATCATCAAGCGCCCTGGGCGAACTCCGGCCGTGGCGGCCCCCCCCCCCCTTTCCCCCTTTTTTTTACTCGCCTCTATCTACTAGGTACGACATCCCTGTTAGCAGTGGCCCAACACGAGCGTTTTGTCAGACAAGAACCGCATACAAAAAACAAGAAGCGCTGTGTTAAAAAATAAATAAATAGGGGGTGCGGCGGCGCCCCCCATATTGATGGCGCCCTGGGCAACCGCACAGGTCGCCCACCCCTAGGGCTGGCCCTGCTTACAAGCATCTATAGGTAGAACGAGGGACGGCACGACACGGACGCAGAGGTCAGTGAAGTTTTTGTGTTGTGTCGTCCCCCATTCTACCTATAGTCTCAGGGTTTTGGTATATGTTAATGATACATTTATTTCCCATGAAAGCGATGGGGGAGGTCGGGGAAAGGAAACTGAAAAACAGCTTGACGAGCTCCCTCCCCCCAGAATTATGCAATCGTGAAAATTGGAGGATGTTTCTTTCAAGTTTATTTATGATAGATTTTCGATTCTCCAAAATTCTAAATTTTACTTTGCTGGGGGCCCAACTTTTTGACGTTGTATACAAGAACAAATATCATCTGGACACAAACCTGCCCTGAATTCATAATTTGCCTATATTGAATAATATATATTCCGCTAGATCAGGGGTCTCAAACACACGGCCCGCGGCTCGCTGAGAAGTAGCCCGCAGGCGACCGGCTGCAAGTCCCGGTCTCGAGCGCTAGAAATGACATGTGTCATAGTGATCTCATCTTGTCGATTCATTTTTGCTCGGAGAGTAGCTCTGCTCTTTTAGCGTATGCACATATTTTATAATGCTCTGTGTTCATTTGCCTTTTGTTTCACTTTGATTCTTGCTTCCCAGCTTTTAGTAATGTACAACAATTCCGCACTAGTCTGCAACCTCCAGCTATTCGTTGAAAAATGCATGTCGGCTGCGCAAACTCTCTCGCTTAGCAGAAGCAAGTGCCAAAAATAAAGCTATGAGCTTGGGATTCTCAACTTCAAAAAATATCACAATTAAAAGTATTTGTTGAGAGTGTTATAACTGTCAAACCTGTCAAACTGTCAAAGAACTGTCAAATTAAATGATTATTTTTTTTTTTAAAGACATGTTGAACTGGGAATGACAGATTACTTGCTCTCTTGTTATATTAAAAATGCCAGCACGTTGGCGGGGCAGTCTAATTTTAATTTCGTTACCACATCAGGTCAGGGCCCAAAGTAGTCATATAAACAAACCCAATTTAAAAATGTCATTGGCAAAACCGTGAGTTTACGAAAAGCATAGGGCACGAAGTCTCTTCCCATTAAAATCTTCCCCCCCCCCCCCCCCCATCTTACGTTGGCCCCCCCGGTCTTTCCGGTCTGGGCTATCTGGCCCCCACACTCAAATCAGTTTGAGACCACTGCACTAGATCGAGCATTTGCGCCTTTACGATTGGAAGTACTGACCGTCCCACGGCGAAGCATGCAAAAAAATGTGTCGCTTTAATAAATGTCAATACTTTAAAATCATTGAAATCCTCGACCTGGCCTCTGGGAAGCTCGTTTTCTTCCCACCTTGCTCCTCCTTGCGGCTGTGCGGGGTGGAGTGGTGAGATAGAACGTTTAGCTGCCTTCCTCCCACCCATAATTGGAGCTTTCACAGTTACAGAAACACAACCCCACCTTCCTCTAAGAAGTTCAGTCTAAAAACTAGAACAGTGGTTTTTGTCGTGATACAAAATTGCGATGACCCGTCGTCCCGAACAAAACTTGACGAGATAAACGGTGAACCCCTTTTTGTCGACAGCCTGAGATTTTGAAGCAAGCTGGAAAGGAGTGTCCTCAGGAGCATTGACCCTGTGCTCTCTCTGACCAAGCTTATTTGTAAAACATCGTTTTTTTTTCGTTTTTTTTTATATTGTGTCATTGAAATTTTGAGATTTTCGAATAAATCCAAATTGACAAATTTTTTATGGGCGAGTGTTTTTCGGATTTTATCGGATTTATCCGGAAACACGGAACCCTAATTCTGTTCAACCATCACCAGCTCGTTTGCTCCCTAACTTGCCGTTCAGGGATACATCATTTAAGTTTGTGTCTTCTGGAGCGGACTCTGTTTCTTCTATGAACAGGGTTTGAAACTTGTGCGGGAGGCAGTCCACCTTTGATTGAGCGTCTTCATTAGGTTTAATAGGCACTCAACTTTAGCAGTGATTTACACATGGAGTCAGTTTCCCATTCACAGTAGGAAAAAAAATATCTGAGAAATTTGTTTTGTGGTGTGTTCTTATAAAATAATCGCGTTGCATGTATGCTTAAAGGGCGGGAAGTTAGCAAGCCCTAGATGGCATCGGATGTCGCCGCCGTAGATGAGAAATTTAGTGCTGTGTGACTGCTAGGCAGTGGTCCTTAACGTACATCGCGCTGTAGTGACACGCGATCGCGATCGCACGCTAGCATGATGCGCATTCAGGTTGATACGGGCATGGGGCGAAGATTGAACTCAGGATCCCTGGGTTCTGCAACGCAAGCTTTCACTCCACGCACTCCGAGCTGTAGTGCGTTAAAGCACTCGGCCACCGATCCTTCTCGTTTTTACGCCAGAACACGTTGTTTTTCAGGGACCCCCGCCGGGAGCCACAGCCGGAAGAAGACGCAGTTGCAGAGTCCGAGGACATGTAAGTTTATGACATTGTGCTGCCCTATGCCGCCCTGTTGTGCATGGCCCTCTTGTACCACCTGTTTCTACGAGCGTTAGAGACTATCATAATATCTCAAGAGATGTCCCCCCCCCCTGAAAGATGACCGAACCCTATTTGTCGCTTGATTTGCATTTTTGTTTAAAACACCGAAAGATAGCCCACTCCTAGTAATTGTAGTGTTCAGATCAATGATGACATTGGCATAATTGCAGCTAGTTAGCTATGGCGGGATATAAGCAAACATTACTGACGGGGAACTAGTCATCTATGTTTCATTGTCCCTCGCCCCGATAACAAGTTTGGCAGGGACACATAACCTTAAAATAGCATTTTTTCAAGTTTTCTCGATTGCACACCGAAAGTTAGCCCACTGCTTCTTTTCACCCGATTTGCTCTTAATTTTAGGTGGGCTATCTCTCGGGATACTATGACAAAGAAGGAGGCCACCGGACTGCAATAGTTCCAGTTTAGAAACGAAGGCCAGACAATACTTTCCACATGAAATATGCAAGGCTACGTGGCAGTTGATCTTGAGGGCGGCATTGAAGGAATGACCCTCACTATGCCGTTAAATACCGGAGGAAAGCCCACCCCACTTTCACTGGAAACTGGGTTCACCTATACATGGGCGCTTGTCTGGTCAAGTCGAGCGCTTAACATATTATTTACGGAATTCCCAAGTTTGGGAAACGTTAGTAATAGTGGGTGCTTGAACAGAGTGGCTGCTTCCGCGGTACTTTACGGTAGCTCATTGTTAGGACTGCTGAAGGTTGGCGATAAACTAACAGTACTCAAGAGATAATTCTTGGGAGGGAACAAAGGTGTTGAGAAAGAAGAAGGGTAGAATATAGAATAGTGCGCTTTTAGAATACTTGCTTGGAGTAGAGTTTATTTTGTCCCAGTTATACTTGAGCTTCATTTGTGGCCCTCCTCGAAGTAGTAATAATTTCATTATCTTTTTCAATTAGACTGTGCAATGAAAAGCAAAAGTTCATTGGTGTCTTATTATAAAAAAAAATATACTGTAAAATACCGGGCAAGCACCCACTCAAACTTTGGAGATAATCGCAAAAAAATGGGGGATGGGCGCTTGTCCGGTCATCAGTTTTACATATAAATGTACAAATAAAAATATAAATATATATTATATTATAATATGTTTTATATAAATGTACTGTGCATATTTTTTCAGATCTTACAAATTTGGTAATGGGTGCTTAATGTGGAATGGGCGAATTTGCGGTATTCTACGGTAGACAGCATGCAACCCTTCTGAAGAAAGCAGAGATTCTGCATGTTTTCAGAACTTATTTCCCTCCTTATGAAAAGGGACAATGCAGTCAGTTCAGAGACTGATATGTGCATCTGAATAAACATGCTCGACAATAAAACGGATCCCTCCATACATTAGTGCTTTGCTGCCAACATCATTTACCCAACACGTATATGAAAAAACTGCCTGTTCAAAGACGCTGTACAGTGCCCCTCAAACTTAACGCCGCCACTCGGTTTTACAAATATTGATACATTCAATTTTATTGCATGCTACCCAAACATGAATTGATCGCTGCAGTTGCTGGAATACCTTCCCTTGGTTACGTTTCAATCGAGGACGCAAATCTTTACAAACCATTTTGACTGCTATGTTCAGGAATAGCTCAAAAAGTGAAGAAACCGAACCATCTCGTGGCGGCGTTAAGTTTGAGGCGCACTGTACACACATAGCGTTTATAGGTTCTCCGCAATGTCATGGTGTTGTGTTACCATGTGATGCAACACAGGGCCACATGATGTGAGATGTGACACCATGACATCTCGGTATTCTTTGACACCGCAGGACCATCAGGAAAGCACATGGTCATCTGTGGTTACGTCACGTGACCCGAGATCATGGAGTCACATGACATCATGTGGCCACCAGAAAAACATGTGGTCATGTGACCATACATCACATTGCCACATAACTTCCGGCGTCGACTTTATAATGTTTTGCGATGTCACCGTCACATGACATTGTGGTGCTGTGCGGCATCACTGTGCCACATGAAAAACAATGACACAAGAAATTCCTTTCTGAGGACGCCTCACTGTTCCAGCCACGCGACTGTTGCGGAAACTGCGACGTCATCGGCAGACGTCCCCATCGTGGCTGCCCGTAACCACAGACACAAAGACCCAAAGAGCTGGCCAAGTGCTATGCATCTGTATGTCCTGTTTAGTTTCATGAAAGCAAAGCTTTACTTGTCCCTGATTGGCACAACGATGTCCCCCCTCTTCAGGTCTACAGAACCTTATCAGGAAGTGGCACGGTTTCCTGGTGAACACTTGGAGGCGCCGCAAGAAAGGCGTCGGGACCAGGAGTGGCGCGACTCCAGCCCCATTCACCTTCACTGCATGCTGGTCGCCTCAAAGATCCGGAGAATGGCTCCAGAGGATCAGATCGACGCTCTTCACGAAATCGACCAAGTCGTGTACCGCTACGAGAAGCGTGCAGTTCGGAACCTCACCACTAGCGAACACAACTATTCTTGAACTTGTTCTCGAACTACCGCGTGAGTGAAGGGGATTGTTGGCCTTTTGAGGTGACTGCTTAAAGCGATTCATTAACACAGGGGCTCTCGTACTCGGTTTTTAAGAACATAGAAGTTCCCTAGCGAATCCTCAGGGGTTCCCCGGACACCCCCAGGGGTTCTCCAGAGCATCCTCAGGGCGTCTCCAGAGCAGCCTTGGGCGGTCTCCAGAGCACCCTCAGAGGTTCTCCAGGGTACCCTAGCCTAAGGGATTTTCCAGAGCACCCTCAAGGGGTTCTCCAGTGCAGTCTCAGGGGCTCTCCGGGGCACCCTCGAGTGTTTTTCAGAACACCGTCAGGGATTTTCCCGGGGGTTTTTTTGAGCTCCTAAACTTTCTTGGATCGATTCTGCCCCTATATAAAGCGTTTTTTTCCCATTTAGACAATTTTGTTTTACAAGGTATGAGCCATGCTGATGTAGAACTATAGCCAATCACTTCCTAATATGTGAATTTATTATTATTTTTTTTTTATTATTGTGAATTACTGTTATGCCGAGTATGGGAAAGGGTTTCTCAGATGTCGATAGAGAGAGATCAAGATTCCTCGAGGTCGAAAAGTTTAAAAACCTGTGCCTTAACATGTTGAGCTACGATTTCTTGCAAATGTGGCCGAAGATAGTGCATTTTGTTGATAAATATTCTAAAAAACAAGCTTGCCTCAGTAAAAAAAAAAAGTGTGAATTTGTTACCTACAGCAGGCGTCTAGTTGGCACAACAGCCGACAGATCGGATCGCTATAAGTAAGAGCGAGGGTGCAACCTCTGATCTCCAATGGCATATAATGTTTTCGAGTCCAATGCTGCCCAGGCTCTTTCGGTCTGGTGCAAGATTTCATCCTTTTTACTACACACAGAGTGGACACAGAACCAACAACAAAGATTTATTGTCGGACAGCGGCACGTCAACAGCTGCCGGCCATCTCCCGGCTATAGCGTCACTTGAACGTCTTTTGTTCGCCGACGACCGCCGTAGGTAGCAAATTCAAGCTTTCAATATGTTACGCTTTCCTCGGATAAGTTCATACTTTTTCAAAGTTCGTACACGAAATGCATCATCCTTGGCCACCTCTGTACATAATCTTAGCTTGATGTGGGAAGAAACTGATTTATGCAGTCGCTTCAAGGGGGCAACAAGCTCTTTAACTGGCGCGGTGGAGTGCCTGCTGTATATTTATGCTGCCTCCTTTTTCTGGTTTTGACCCTAGTGCAGTGGTTCTCAAGCATTGATGTCTCGCGAACCCCTTGCGGATCGGCGAAGATGACAGAGGACCCCGTTCGTGGTGTGGGGAAGGGGAAATGTATAGGTAATTATGATAATGACTTTATAATTGAATATAACTAAGGGCTAGTGTGAAGTAGACATCTCTCCTTGACATGCCTGTGAGAAAACTCACCGAAAAATTGTTACGTTTCTTTTCAATAAAAAAAAAAAATTTTATTGCCGGGCTCCACTGATGAGGCAGGGTTTCGTGGACCCCTAAAATTCCTTTGCGAACCCCAAAGGGTCCGCGGACCCCCATCTGAAAACCACTGACCTAGTGAATCGCATTCAGTTTGCAGACCATCTTGTACCATCTATTTATCTTTTTGAGTGACCTGATAACTGCACTCATTTGTACCATAAGGACGTCTACTCATCGTGTGTTTTATGTCGGAGAGTTGTTAAAAATTTACATCCAAGGTTACTGTCTTGCGGCAGCTTGTTTTTTTAGTGCCACATTTCTTATTTGCTTGAGAGACTGCCTCGCTTGAATTTAATTTTGTTTTATAGCAAGCATGAAAGGAAACTGGAGCCGTTCCATTTTCATTAAATATATGGCATCTGCTTCTGAAAAAATGACAATTTTACTTTTTTTTTTTTTTTTAAGAAAATTTTTACAGATATAGGTGTCAGTGATAGATGCCTGAGGTGCCAATCTCGCATTATGTTAGAGTTTTCTGAATTGCTCATGAATTCATCTGCCAAGTATGTTTGGTTTTTATTAGCTTTCCCTACATTGTTCTTGCTCCGAGACTTGTACATAGCATTGTTTGATGAAATAATAAACTTGGTTGCTACTTGTTTTTATATTGAATTTTTCTTTGGTCGATTATATTAACTGTGTCTTTCTCCTCTGGCACATAACCTCACGTCTTCTGAGGGACTGTCATTTCAAAGTCCATTTAAGATTTGCCCTTGTATGTGAAAACATGTTGATCCAAGGATAATGGGCAGTATATCAAAATATAAACAAACGTTGCATGCAAATCAACAGCGTAAAGTAGCAAAAATAGTAATAGAAAACGGGTATATCCGCAAGTGCCAAAATATGAACAATCGAAAAATAATAATTAGTAATTTATCTTGTCGTTTATCAAAAGAATTTATAAGCACGTAAACTAAGTTATTAATCAAAGTGCAATGGAAGCTCGAAACCGAAACTCGAAGATTGTTCATTATCTTCATGGTGGCTCTTGATTCGAGTTAAATTTACTAGAAACGTAATTAGAATTTTAAATTGTAGCTAGAAAATTTTTGTCATTTGTAAAATGTAATGCACCTGTAAAAAATTACTTGAATTAAAATTACAGTACCTAAACTGGGTGCACCTTGTTGCGTAGCCACCTTTTTGACGCCATATGTCGAACCGAAATCACTTCTCTCCATACTCATATGTAGTGTCCGAGCGAGGGAAAGATTGATAATAGGGATGTCGCGAACCACCCTAGGTTCGATTTCGAAAGGTTTCGATATTTGCGAAGCGAACTGAGGTTCGATTTCGAAAAATTTCGATATTTTCGTACCGACCGAGGTTCGATTTAGAAAAATTCGCAGCTTTTGACCACAGCGGAGTTTCGAATTCGAAAATTTCAAAGCTTTCACGGTTTCTAAAATTTCGAATTCGAATATTTCGAATGTTTTTTTACTTCAGGTTCGATAAATTTGAAGATTTCGAAATTCTTTATAAAAAAAAAAAAAATTCGAAAACTTCGAACGCTTTGAATTTTTATAGACATGAAGTGCGAAAAATTCGAAGATTTCGAATTTCTTTTTGCATAAAGTTCGAAAAGTTCGAAGGTCTTGATTCTCTTTTAACGCTAAATTTAAAAAAAAAAAAAATCGAAGATTTTGAATTTTTTTTTAATCCAAGTTTTCAAAGTTTGAAGTCCGATTTTCAAGTTTTTCCACAGTTTCAGTTTCAAATAATGTTTTCACGACTCACTGGTTTTCACAAAATCAAGTTTAGGAAAGTTAGGCTGTGATATCTAGATTCTGCAAAGTTGGTCAGGCAATTAAATGAGACGACGAGTGTCCCGGACGTGCTAGAATATTTGCCAGTGCAGAATTGTGACCGCCAGCCCCGGGGGGGGTCTTTAACCTGCATCACGCAATAGTGATTGCACGAACACACTGTTTTACGAGACTCATCCAGTTCGAAACGGCCAGGGGCGAGCAGGAGGTTGAGGCTCAGAAAAACCTTGAAGCGACCTGGCAAACTAGCTCGCCACCCCTTGCACGCTGGTAGTAATCCGATCCGGTGAAGTTTATAATTGTCCTGGAGGTTTATTTTCTGTGACGGAGGAATCGCCTCGCAAAAAGCACAAAAGCCGACACAACTCGAGGTCGAGGAGCGTTCTACCATACAAGTGGCGTCGGAAGAGGAAAAACGGGGGGAAAGAGGGTAGCGGGGGGGGGCTTTAGCCTCCTTCTCCCCCTTGCAGGTATTTCGGACTGTTAAAGGAAACAATACGGGGAAAGAGGGCGTGGTCGAGCTTATTTTAATCTGAAATTATTTATGCATATGTATACACCTTTTCCGCGTAGTCGTCGCCATCTTGCGGGTTGCCGCGACAGCCGCGCCGTCTGCCGTCTGGCGTCTAGTTGTTGTGCGCCCATTTTGGTATGCGGAAAGCAGCGCTGTTCCTAGCTCCCGCGTTGTCCCCATTGACCCCGCGCATCGTATCTTCATTGTTTTCCCTTTAGTGAGTTCTTAATTTGTTTGTTATTGAAAGTGTGAATTACTCTTGTGTTCTGGCGTGTTTATTCGCCTTCATGGCGCCCGTTGTTGCACCAACAGCGCCGAGAGGTTCGTCGCCAGCGTCGACGGTAATCGAAATCGGAGGCATGTTCACTTTTCCTGAGGACGTTTACCAGTGTTTACTCTTCGCGTGTTGTTGTTTGTGAAGAATGACTGCCTTCTGCGAATGAGTAACGGAGGGTTTCTATGCGCGAGCGAGGGCGACCCTGGGCATAGAAGTATCATCGTTTAATCGTAGAAATACTCACAATGGGAGTTGGCGACGCGGGCCGAACGGTTTATTGTTATGGTGCACCGTCGAGGTACGATCGCTAGTTACCGGGACATCTCTACTTCGTATGACGCCCAGATGCTTCGGAACTATTCAGGAGGTGGGGGTGAAAGGGGGGGGGGGGGGGGAGGAGGACGATGACGACGATTTTTTGCCCTCTTTTCGTATTGTTTCCATTAACATACTTTAACGGGCGTCGATACCGAGCAACACACAAAATTATAGTGCACATCCTCGTAGGAATGAACGAAATGAAAAACAAAACTTGAGTAGACAATAACAATCATTACACCCAGGGGCTTACAATTGCACCACAAGCTGCAAAATTTGTTTTGCATTTGACTTGTCGAGGCCTATTACTGCACTTGTATATGTCCGTTTCTATACTGCCTATTTGTTTTTTTTATGTGCTGATATTGCATAGCTTCCCCGCTGATATCAGCGGGGAAGCGATGCAAAAGGTATACGTTACAGCCGCATTCGCTTTGCGACTTCTTGTGTTCGGTGCACAATTTGTCGCGCGCTATCTTCCGTTTTCGGAAATTGCTGCTGCAGCCAACGACTGCGCAGTGGCAGCCCGATGACCAAATATGCGCGGGCATGATACATCTACGTATTAACCCACCTTATTACAACTCACTTCGCTGTCAAGTGCTTCAAAACCCATTTAACGCGCACCACTTCAGCATCTTGCCAGCCGACTAGGCCTGCTCCCGCATACCGGAAGTGTTAGAACCGGAAGCACTATTCCCGCTGTGCGCCGAGTCGCCGAGTCGAGGCTACGCACGTTACGCGCTGGGTCGAGGTTAGACGGAAAAGGTGTATAGCTACTGTCGCTCTTCACTGCATAAAAGGTTGCGTAGATGGTCATTGTTAGAAACTCGTTGTCAGAAGGCACTGCTCGTCACATGCTTAGTGGTTCGGAAGTTCAAAGCTGTCTTTTCGACCTAAACTAGGGGTGTCGCGAACTTTTGTCGAACCAGATTTTTTGGTCGAACTTTCGGGGTTCGACTAACCTTCGAACTTTTCACCAGATTCGACCGGTTCGACTTTGCGGACAGTGTGGCCAGACCTTGATACAAGCATGTCTAGGTTTGTAAAAAAAATTTTTATGCAAAGGGTTATTTTATATTGTGAACAGTTGCAATTAAAAGAAACTAATTCTAATCACTGAAGAAGTTAATAACTTAATTTTTAGTACTGTATTAACTGAAATAGCCAATCAGCGCTGCACTTAATTCATCTCTTAGCCATTATAATCCAATCCGAAGCCAACTGGCCAGCCTGTCGCGCATGCGCACACGAGTCGAACCTCAATAGAAGGTTCGTCGAAATTTCTACTAAAAGTTCGAAGTTCGTCGAACTTCTGACTTTTCAGAAATCGAAAGTTCGAAACTTTTCGAATTCTCTTGATAAATAAGTTCGAAATTCATCGACTTTTTTGGTCAGTCAAGTTCGAAAGTTCGACAAGCATCGAACCTTGCGGCGCAATAAGTTCGAAAGTTCAAAAAAGATCGAATTTTTTTGCGTAATAAGGTCGACGGTTCGAAAAGCGTCGACCTTCTAAGCTTAACAAGTTCGAAAATTCGACCTCCGTCGAATTTTACGATATAGACAATTCGAAAAATCGAAATCTTTCGAACCGCTTGATTTGATCATCGAAACTTCGATTCGAAAAAAGTTCGCGGCATCCCTAATTGATAATAAAATAATAAAACTCGATTCATTGCAGGAAAAACGTCCACCGCAAACTCGCTCTCTTTCGCGTAAGTGAATGGATTGAACCGCATGCGAATATCTGCCACCCGCACGTCCCCAGTAGCCAGTTTACGCGTAGATGCACGCACAAAAAGAGCCTAACTTCCGGATCGTGACACTGATTCATGCCAGCTGTGCTTCTGCGTGCAATCTCGTCGAGTATTAATCGCACGTTCGAAAGCTATCTGAGACATTTGGGAATTTACAGGCCTTTGCGCGTTAAAGCACGGATTATGGATCACATCGAGAACGTCAGACTGGTGGAATGCAAGAACTCGCAGTACGTGAAGCCCACTCGCATGCTGTTCAAGCAGGTAAGTTATCTATAATCGTTTTAATTAAGTTGTGAGCTTTAACGCAATGGCGTAAATTTTCCCGTTTACAGAACGGGCACGAGAGAGCTTGGGACCTGATGAAAACACACGATAGGTATGAATCCGAACGTAGACGCTGTGTTGTACGATCGGCTATTTTAGCTGCGTGAACAAATTCTGAACGTAATGTTGTTTGTGTGTGTGTGTGTGTGGTCTTTCTCTTTCACAGCGTAGCGGCGGTGCTCCATAACACGTCTCGGAATGTGCTACTCTTCGTGCGACAGTTTCGACCCGGTGAGGAAATACTAGTGATGGGTACGCAAGGAGGTTAGAAGTACTAGGAGGGGACACGCTGCAATATTGGTGAAGCCTAGTCATAAAAAGTTTAAACGATTTTGTGCCCAGCGTGACCGCAGATCTCTCAGGCGATTGGTGCGCGTGACATGTCACGTGTGAGGTAAATGGTTGATTGTAGAAAAACTCCTTGCAGGCTTGCGCACGCTCCGTCCGGTAGGTTTTATCCGATCGAAGGCTAGACTGTGGTGTATTCTAGTAACCCGTAGCAAGACGAAGGCTAGCTCCGGTCACGTGATGTGGTCACGTTGGCGTGATAAGTGAGGAGAGTAAGGAGGAAAATGAGAAAGAGGCGAGGCGTCAAGGGAACATGGCTTGTGGAGGCTACGCGGCCTACGTCATGCCCTCTCCTACCCTTCTATCCTCCTCGTGGGTAGGGGTATGGTGTACTAGAATACTGGGCAGTGTAGCGAGCGCGGGCGAAGGGGGGCTCTTTCAGCGATGACCGGATTGGTGGCCGCGGGAGGGCGCAATGTGTAGTAGGCGTGCTGCCGGAGTGCGGAGCGCACTCCGGCAGCACACCTACTACGTGCAGAACGCCAAGCACTTGGCTGGCTTGGCGTTCTGCACGGGTTCGATTGTTTCGTATAGCTTGGCTAATTCTTTACGGTACTCTTTATTTCCGCTGTTTCACCTATTATTTATCGCACTGATTAGTTGCCGAATGCTTCACCGGAGACGTGGATCTTTGGGCAGGACGCCACAGTACACATCGCGACACTGCTAGCGCGAACATGACAGTGGCACTTTTTCGTATTCACTTCGAAAGAGTATTAGCGAGGACGAAATTTTGTCACCTGCTATATAGACCCGAATGAGCTTTTTTCCCAGTAATTATAACTTTGCTGAGATCCTTTGGTTTCTAATAGAAAAACCGGCGATCGCTTGTTCGCGATAACATTGTTGAGTTCTGAATAGGCGGAAAATCCATCCCCCCCCGGGAAACGTTCGGGAAGCCTCTTGAAAGAGACGTCCCAAACGTGTGTAATCCCCTGGATAACGTAGGATAAGCATGCTGATGGCATGATACCTAAACGAACGTCTGCTTTTGTGACCCTATAATTTCGCTGTCACTGTGGTTGTGATCAATGAATAACGCGTGGTTGAAGCGCACTAAGGTAATGAATTGTTTCAACGTTTGGGAAAACAAAATAGGGCTCACAAAACGGATTATATCGTCTACTTCCGTAGGCTCCATGGTACGCTATAGACGTGCCACTGTCGTCTTTCGCAACTACTTCCACGGGCTTTCGAAGGAATTTCCAGCACTAGCCTTTATCGTATTTGCTGTTACTACATAGGGTCTTCGAACAGGACTGTGCGAATAGTTAGAAAAATTTATCCACTCACCAGCTCTGGTAGGAACCAGAGTGGATAAATTCTTATTTATTCACGGAGCACCAGCTATCGATATGTGTGGGCACCAGGGCGCACAGATAAATGTTTAATTATACACTGGGCGCCAGCGCACAGGTAAGGTTAATGAGGTGCACCCAAAGATTCCGGAAGCGATGGTACTTGCTTTTCCCAAGAGCTCGGGAGAGGGGGGCTCCCGAGCTTCCTCGTAGTCGGCGCCTATGGTTTTTTGTATCTCTACATTCCCCAGCGTGAGGTCATGATCTTGATGAGCTTCAAAATCTTCGGGATAAATGACTCAGTATCTTGCCCTGGGCACAGGACCTTTCAATTTTCTTGCGGTATAAAAAGAGGCCTCTTACCACCTCCTCATTGAAGAGACGGAGTGCTGCGGGCCAACCCTCATCTTTTCAAAGCCGCTAGGGAAAAAAAAAAAAATAATTTGCTGATGTGAGGCCATAAACTTCAACGTCACATTCTCCAAGTCTCCAAGCCTTTCTAATGTAGTCAGCGTGCACAGGACCCTTCGGTGTGTCGAAACCAGTGTCTTTAAAACCGATCTAGCAGATACTTTACAGAATGCGAAAAGTCCGAGAAAAAAAAATGTAGAGGACGACTGTCATGGCTGCCTGCATTACATGAAGCAGAGTCTCCTTTTAATGTTGCGGGATCACAACTCACGCCGATCGAGGTGCCTTCCGAAGGGGGTGCCTTCGGAAAAACAAGGGGGGAGTACACTCCCGTAAGGGGATATAGGGAAATCACTGCCTCGGCACAAAACACGTCATGTCTCTCTTGTCCCGCCGTTTTTCCGTCATTGCACGCGTTGTCTACATGACACTGAACGGCACCGATCGCAATCCATTTCACTCAATCATTTAGAAAAACAAAAAGGAAAACACTGCAGGAAAACAAAGCAACGATGGGAACCACGCGATCACAAGCAGTACGACAACACGGATACCCGAGCGGGAAGGAGCACGCCTGTTACCCGCATCGCCCCCTGCCGTCCTTGCGCTCCATCATCGCTGCGCCGACCTCCTCCCTTCGTTGCTTCTCGGCGTGGACGACACACTGCCCAGTTCTAGTACACCATAGTAGGGGTGTCGCGAACCGGTCGAGGGTCGAGGTCACTCATCTCTGTGACAATTGCTGGATCGCGTTTGCCCGCTTCGCGAATGCGGCCACTGGGGGCCATCTTTTTGGTAGAGTTATATTATTTCTAGCCAAGGTACAGCTGCTGCAGCCATTATCATCCATCCACGGCAGACAGCTTTGTGGCAGTTGTGATGGCAGCCTGCCATCAAATTAGCGTGGGTGATATTTCGTGCTTCATTGAAATTGTTTGACAAAACATATTTTTGAAACCCGGCGTGAACAGTAGCCCAACCTTTGAGGACTCAGTGAAAGTTTCACGAAATCGCAGCACCGGGGAAATGCAGCACAGCACGCATCGAAAGAAGCATCGAAAGCAGACGCCGGTACGGAGTCTGCTTTCGATGCGAGCTGTGCTGCTTTCCCCCGGTGCTGCACTTTCGTAGAACTTTCGCCGGGTCCTCAAAGATGAGGCTACCGTTCACGCCGGGTTTCAAGACTCTGCTTCGTCGAACAACTTCAATCAAGCACGAAATATCACCCACGGTACAGTGTACTAGATCCACGGCTATTTTATGGCAGCCTGCCGCCATAGCGCTCCGCCATACTACTATGATGGCTAGGGTTAATATAACTCTACCAAAAAGGTGGCCGAGCGTGGCCGCATTCCCTTCTAGAGGCGGAGCTGGTCAAACGCGATCCAGCAAATACACATAGAGATCAGTGGTCGAGGTCGACCAGGTTCAACTGCTATGCGCAGGCGCGACAGGCTGACCAGTTGACTTCGGATTGGATGGTGATGGCTAAGGGATGAATTAATGGCAGCACTGATTGGTTATTTCAGTTAACACAGTGTCAAAAATTAAGTTATTAACTTCTTCAGTGATTAGAATTAGTTTCTTCTAATTGCAACTGCTCATAAAATTAAAATAACCCCTTTGCATAAATAAAAAATTCTCCAAACCTATAGTTGGTGACAGGTCAAGAACGAAGTGGAAGCTCCTCCCACCCCTTTCCACTTCAGCGGAGTGAACGATGGAGAGGAGGTCGCCTCCTCCCCACCATTCGCTCTGCTAAAGTGGAAAGAGGTGGCAGGAGCTTCCACCTCGTTCTTGACCTGTCACTGACTATAGACATGCTTGTATCAAGGTCTGGCCACACTGTCCACAAAGTTGAATCTGGTTAAAAGTTTGAAGGTTCGTCGAACCTTAAAAGTTAGACCTAAAAATCCGGTTCGACAAAGTTTGCGACACCCCTAGTGGTGGAGCGAAACTTCAGAAATTGCTCTTGGACCTGAAACAGGAGTACAAAAAGTTTCGGAAAAACAGCCGAACCTCTATGTGGTTCGGATTAACCATTCCATTTAGTGGTCTCAGGGTGGCGCCATTTTGTTCGACCGCTGCACCCTCTCCACACATCCAGGAAGTTCAACAGGTTCGGCGGGGTAAAATAAGAGAGAGGAGCACACGCCCGACTCCGCTAGCAGACGACAGACCGGGAGGTTGCCGTTCTCCATCTTTGGGTTGTACCGGCGGGCTGTACCGAACATCGAACTCTCGCTTGTGGCTGCCGTTTTCAAGTGTTTCGCATTCTTAGAATATGCATGGCTACTCCAAAATCAGCCTATAGCGCTCTGTTGTTTTATTTCAAGAAATGATCAACTTGCGACCGGGAAAACCGGGAATGTCAGGGAAATTTTAATTGTCCGGGAAAATTCAGGGAATTGTCAGGGATGTTGTCAAAAAGCGAGCCCAGTCAAGGAAAATGAGCCGGAAACGCCATTGAGTGCCCTAAGCAAAGACTTGAGGATTTTGGGTTAGAAAAATAGGCAATAAATTCTGCTTAGAGTGGAGCGTGGGCTCTGCTCACCCGATGTAGTGTGCCACCCAATGCAAAGGAACAGCCGATGAATCCAGTCCAAGCCACGCATTGGATCGGATTGAGGGCGCGACTCTAGGCTAGATACTGGCTTTGAGAAGTGCATTTCTAGCTCAAGTGTTCAGTCTGCAGGAGAATGTTTCAAAGCAGTGACGTCGTGCTCTTGTGCTTGTGGCATTGGCTGCTGTCTCAGCTTAAAGAAGCCCTGCAACAACTTTTTCACTGGATTGTAATTTGCACCGAACCTGAGCGCACTGAACGTAGTAACTTAATGAAACTTTTCTCAAATTTCACTTTATTTTAAAAATTAGAGGCAAATTAGAATTACAAATAACAACCAGAAAAATAATGTGCTTCATGACGTCGTAGGTCCTGGCTTGAGTGGTCGTGAACTAGAGGAGGAGTAGTGAGCTCATCGAGCACTCACGGCAGTCGCACTCCATGTTGACGGCTCGAGAGGGCGCCACTAAAGCATGAGTTGGTTAGGCTGTATGAAGCAGCCGGCCAGGGCGGCTCGCATTGCATTTGCTGCACGATTAAAGACTATTTCGGCATAACACTTCATTGACCACAAACGGCAGCAAACACGGGGTAAAGGTCAGTTCAGAATG